CTTTCTTCATCCAGAAAACAGTGGGACAGAGTGCTAACAAATGCTTAAAAGGCCCCTGTTGAGTTTATATTTGGATCTTGAGTCCACAAGGCCACCAAGCCATGGAGTTTGGCATCAAGAGTCAAATAGATGAGGGGCACCTGGCTAGCTCAGTTGGGAGGGTGCAAGTCTTGATCTGAGGGTGTGAGTTGGAGCCCCACTTTGGGGGTAAAGATTTCCTAAAAAAGACTCCAATAGATGACAAAGGATCTTGAGCATATCCATCAGTCACCAAGAAGATAAGAGATTAAGAAGCAGAATGCTCTTATCTGGTTTGGGGGTCCCTTGACAACTTGGCTGTACAGGGAGGGTCTTTATCTCGTGCAGCAGGCTGCCTACCATGTCTCACATCTGTGCATTTGCTCACATAGTTTCACCACAGGGAGTGTTTTTCTTCTTTCCCCCATCTATTTACAGCCTGCATATATCCTTCAAGGCTAGTTCCTAAAATCTGTCTTCACATTCTGGTTCTTCTGTTCATAATTCTTAGAGCACATGATGTAGCCCCCAGATAATCAGAGTCAAAATGTAGTCCAGTTTGCTGCTGTTGACCACCTTGTCCCATCTCTTCAGCTCAACTGTAAGCTCCCTGAGGGCAGGAATAGTGTCTTACCTGTATTTGTTGTTCCCACAGGGCCCAGCACAGTGACTGGTATATGGCAATACTTGGGAACAAGTATTTGCGGATGAATGTCCAGGAAAAATGGACTTAGACTGATGTGGATGGAACCATGGTAGACTAATAAAAAGATGTATGAAGGGACTTTCTGGGCATGAGGGTTTAACCCAGAAGACTGGTGAAATGCTCTTCCAGGACCAGCAGGCTTTCAGAAGAGGAGAGACCCTGCTCCAGTCTCTCTAGAGAGGGTTAGATATGGCAGGGCATTAAAGGACCAACTCTGAGGAGAGGCCCAGAGCAGAGGGATGCTCTCCAACACACAGGATTAGCCTCACCTCTGGCCCCTCATGGCAGAACACACACAGTTCATGCTCCTGGCCAGTGAGGAGGCCTTGTAGGCTGGGGACAGCAGGAGCTAGCTAGTAAAGGAGCACAAGCAAAATCGGCAGTGGTTAAGAGGAGCACGAGGGCAGAGAAGACATTGCCTGGCACAAACAGCTCAGGCCCCTTGGCCCTGTGCTGATCTCTCACACCAGCCCAGATCAGCAGCCTGCTGCTATTGTGCCTCCATCAGAGGGAGGAAGAATGGCCTGGCTCTCAGTGAAGACCCCATCTTCCAAGTCTGGCGGGAGTGTGGCTTCAGCTGCCGTCTGTTCTGAGCTTGTTCCTGTAGGCGTCTGGAGGGAACACACAGATGGGTTGGGCTGATGGGGCTGGCTGAGTTAGGGGGAGGGAGGCTTGTGTGTGTGGCACCCCTCATGGAGGAGGCCCTGCCACCACCATCTTCAATAGACGTATTTCAGTAGCTTCAGACATGAAAGGCACTGGGCCTTTGCCCTCATCTTCTCCTTTGGTCACATTTGACCATTGGTTGTAGTCCTCCTTTGGAAAAGCCCTCTTTCTGGGGTTCCTGGCTGGCTTATTCAGTAGAGCATGATACTCTTGACCTCAGGGTGGAGAGCTTGAGGCCCACTGTGGGCATAGAGTTCACTTTTTTTTTTTTTTTAAAAGAGTCTTCTTCCCTTGGCAGTACTTCTACATATTCAACTCTGGGGGATCCCTGGGTGGCGCAGCAGTTTGGCGCCTGCCTTTGGCCCAGGGCGCGATCCTGAGGACCCGGGATCGAGTCCCACGTCGGGCTCTTGGTGCATGGAGCCTGCTTCTCCCTCTGCCTGTGTCTCTGCCTCTCTCTCTCTCTCTCTGTGTGCCTATCATAATAAATAAAATAAATATATATATATATATATATATATATATATATATATTATATTCAACTCTGGTTCTGCTGCTGCCTCTGTGGAGACTGCATCTCCAACTTTGTCATTTGCTTCTCTTCAGGACCCTCCCTCTGGTCTCCCTTTTTTCTCTGCAACATCAAGACCTTGTTTTGTTTTAAATTATTTAATTTTTGAACAGGTAATAGAGGCCATAAACATTCAAAACGGGGGTGCCTAGGTGGCTCAGTTAGTTAAAAGTCTTCCTTCGGCTCAGGTCGGTCCCAGGGTCCTGGGACGGAGCCTGGCATCTGGCTCCCTGCTCAGTGGGGGGCCTGCTTCTCCCTCTGCCCACCCCCATGCTCTCTCTCACTCTCCCTCTCTTAAATAATGAATAAACTTTTTTAAGAAATCAAAAGAAAGGGCAGCCCCGGTGGCCCAGCGGTTTAGCACCGCCTGCAGCCCGGGGTGTGGTCCTGGAGACCCGGGATCAAGTCCCACATCCGGCTTCCTGCATGGAGCCTGCTTCTCCCTCTGCCTGTGTCTCTGCCTCTCTCTCTCTCTCTCTCTCTCTGTCCTCATGAATGAATAAATAAAATCTTAAAAAAAAGAGAGAGAGAAACATACAGAGAGGAGAGACACAGGCAGAGGGAGACGCAGGCTCCCTGTGGGGAGCCTGATGCAGGATTCATCCCAGGACCTCGGGATCATGACCTGAGCTGAAGGCAAATGCTCAACCGCTGAGCCACCCGGAGTGGCCCTCTACTACTATCTTGATGGGAGTTACTCTCATATGTGTGTCTCTCACCCTAACTTGTTCTGAATTTCAGACCTGGCTATTCAGGGAGCTGCTGAAACTCCATATGGATGTTCTTCTAGTGTCTCATATTCAAGTGTCTCCAAAATGGAGTCATTTACCCACTTCCTCCTCTGTCCCCTAACTTCCAGTTCCTTACCATCCTCCTACAACTTGCAACTCCTGCCTGTACCCAGCCACTCAGTTGCCAAATTCCACCAATCCTGACTCATACCCATGGTGCTGCTCCTTGCCCACTGTCATTTCCTTTCGGGATGGCCCTTCGTTACCCTCTGTATTACTGTTAATCGCCCCCTAAACTTAGCTTCTCAGGCCTTGCCTCTGCTGCTCCCTTCCATGCACACCTCTCCCTGCCTCCTTCAAGGACCATCCTGATCATATCACTTTCATACTCAAAGACCTTTGGTGACTCACTGCCTGAAGGCTGGGGCACGAACTTCTTTGCCTGCCATTGAAGATATTTGAAAGTAGAGTTCCAAGCCTTGTTTTCCATGCTCATCTCTTACCCCTCCTCTTAATGTCCCTGAGCTTTCAACCCAATCTGTCCCTTTATGGGCCCAGTGTGCTTTTCTGGATTTTACATTATGAAGTGCCTCTGTTCATGGTCCCCCTAGAGTTTAGACCTGGCTTACTCCCCATAGCTACTGCCCATGGTCCTGCCCATCGTGTCCCCTACATTTCTTCTAGTGATCTTCCTCTTCCTTTCCTACTAGAAGGGAGACCTCAAATGCAAATCTGGATAAAATATTAAGTATCAAGCATATATGAGATCCCTGCTCTGTTGCTCAGTGACCTCAGGCAAGTTAAACTGTTTCTTCCACAATAAAAGACATAGTAACACGTTACATAGTCATTAGAAGATTAACAGAGAAAGGGAATAAAATCCTAAGGATAATGTCATTATTTATATTATTGTCTCATAATCACCCATGCTAAGCTGGTCCCCCTTGACTCCTTCCCAGCTGCAAGGATTTGGAGACATCTCATCCATCTTTCCATTGATTTCTGGGGACCAGGGTGGGGTGGAGTGGAGGCCTGGCCCTCAGGTGCTCAAGTAGCTGTACTGTGTGTCTGGGGTGAGGGGAGCTGCTGCCTCTGCTCTCTTTGTTCAGACTCGTGGCTCAGGCAGCAGCAGGCGTGGGTGTCCCCAGGAGGAGGCACTGACAGCTTCAGTTCTCACACGGGCTTTGCAGGTGACAGTTGGGGTGGTGGGGGCCTTCCAGGGGAGTGCAGGCCATCTTCATCATGCCCCAGCTGACAGGCCTCCCTAGCAGATGTGGGCCTCACCCGAAACCAGCCCAGGACATAGCTGGGTGTAGCTTTGGGTGCTACATGTAGCCTCCAGCTGACCCTGCAGAATAAGATGCCATAAAGTGATGAGGTCTAGAGTCTGTGGACTTCATCCCATTGTGTCACTAAGCTACTAAATTACCTCTAGCAATTCTTTATTCGTCTCCAGGGTTGTTTGCTCATCTGCAGAGGGGTGGGGTGGACCCAGTTACCTCTAAGGGCCTGTGGCTCCTTGTCATGGACCACACCTGGACTAAGTTCTGGAGCCTCCTGGAGATTTTGGTACCTTGCTCCTTTGGGCCTGAGTTTTGTCTGAAACAGTTTCCATCTACGACTATCCCTTCTGTGGGGCTTTGGAGAACAGAGTCAAAATGAGCAAATATAGAAAAGTTCTTTATTGAAAAGGGAAGGGTAGCTCCCTTGCTGGGGCCTCCTGGGCCCCTGCCAGAGGGGGCAGTGCCACCAGCTCAGCTCTTCACAATGGCATCCGAAGGCAAAAGTCTGTCCAAACCTTACCTTTAATAACTTTAAAAGGGAAATGCCGTGCTGTGGCGGTGAATCACAGAATCAATTCTGAAAAATAGCGCTTCCAGGCCTTTGCCTTTAAGAAGCTCTTAAAGGCAAAGTGGACAAGTGCCGCTGCTCAGAGCCAGCACGTTTTAGGTAGGGTAGTCTCAAAGACGCGTCTCCGTGTCTTTACCTTTAAGGGTTCCTTAAAGGTGAGGCGTATCGCGCGGAGTACAAAGGTGGAGAACCGTAAAGGGGTCTACAAAGTACTTTTCCAGTTCTCGCTTTTAGGATCTCTTTATGCGAGAGGTGGTCAAGCGCGACTTAATAGAAGTCAAAATAGCTCGCGGAACTGTAGCCCCTCCTGCCCTCCCGAAGCCGCCCGGCCCGCCCGGTCCTCGCCCTCCAGGCGCTCCGCGGAGCCGGGCCGGGCCGCGGCCCACACACCCGGGCGTCCCGGGCGTTTTTGAATTCCTAGACGGTCTTCGCGGAGGACGCCGGGCGGGGCGGGGCGGGGCGGGGCGGGCGGGGGGCGGCGAGTGGAGGGCGCGGTGACCATGGCGACCGCCGTGACCATGGCGACCGCGGCTCAGAGCACCGAGAGGTCGTGGCACGACCTGGAGCGCTGCTTGAAGAACTTGGCGTTGCGCGGCACCAGGTTGGCGAGGAAGCGCTTGGCCTTCTTGGTGAGGCTCTCGCGGCGCGCGGGCGGCGGGGGGCCGTCGGGGCAGCCCCACTCAGGCCTCGGGCCCCCGGCGCGGCCCCGGCCCCGGCCCCGCCGCAGCCTGATCTGGCGCACCGCGCCCTCGAAGAGCTCCCGCGTGTTGTGGTGCAGCGCGGCCGACGTCTCGATGTGCTTGCAACTCAGGGTCCCTGCCAGGTGGCGGCCCTCTGCAGGAAGGGACCGGCTGAGGCGCCCGCGGGCGGCCCTGGACCCGGGGCGGGGCGGGGCGGGGCGGGGCGGGGGTGGGCCTCGGGGGAGGCGCCCGCGGGCCGTGGGGAGGCGCCCGGGCCAGTGAATCTCGCAACTGCGAGCGAGGCAGGGATCCGGCGGAGGGCGGTGGTGGTGCGGCCGCGAGGAGAGAAAGGGGCCTTGGAGACGAGGTGAGGAGTGAAGCATTTAGAGTCTACCCTTAGCCTGCGAAAGGCCATTCTTGGTGCACCCGGGAGGGCAAAGGGCCTTGTGGAGAAAAGGCGACCTGGGAGGGAGTGGGTCCCCTGAGAGTGCAGGTATGCGTGAGGGACAGGGTGCTCACCCTCCAGGGATACCTCCCGCGAGCGGGCCAGGTCGCTCTTGTTTCCGACGAGGATGACAGGGAGGTCGTGGTGGGGCCTCCCAGCTCGCAGCCGAAGGAGGGTTTCTGGAACTTTGGAGAAGCTTCGTCGGTCGGTGACTGAGAAGACGATGAGAAAGGCATCCCCCGTCTGAAGGCAGTGGTCCCGCAGCCACCCCCCTGCGTCCCCCTGCATTGGGCAGAGAGTGGTGGAATGTCAGGCCCAGAGGCACTGGACAACCTGTCCAGCACCTGCATCTCGAGGATGAGGGAACAGCCACCCGCTTAGGCTCACGGGGCTAGTTAATGGCAGAATCTCCGTACCTGTTGTGTGTTTGTGGAGGAGAGAGTGGTTGATGATGTGAGCCCCACCTGAGAGGATGGGGGACAGAGGGTCCTAGACTGGGTAGCCCATCCTACTTTCTTATGCTTAAGCTCTTAATTTAAAAGTGAGTGCTCTTCAGCTGTATGTAATCTGGCCTCTCCTTTCTATATACTAATCATTTATGTCCAAATATTCACAAATCCTCACTTTTTTTCCCTTCCCTGATATTCCAGAGCCCTGAGCTCTTGTCCTGTCAGATCAGACTCTTTCAGGCTGGAAAATATATGGACGGGGTCGATTTCGGGGTGTTCAGCCTGGCTCGCAGCTGCAGGGTTTGTCAAATTCAGATCCTAACTTCCTTCTGGGTCAGAAGATCCTAGAAAGACAGCAGGCACTCAGTGCCATGGTATGGGCATTGATGCTGGCCTTTGCTCTCTGAGATGATAAAGATGAAAGATTCCAATACATACTGAAACCAGGGCCTGCAGTGCCACCAGCCTTCAGCTACACTCTGCCCGCCCCCCCCAGCTCTCCTAGGTTCTCACCTGTTCCCAGATGTCATAAACGACCAGAGTCACTTCCTCCTTATCCACCATGATGCGTCTTTCATAGGTGTCCTCTGCTGGGAAATAAGGACAGGGGATAGAACCTATTAGGAGGCTTCTCAACACTTGTGAGACCTGGTAACCAGGGATGCCTCCGATCCCAGCACCAAGGACCCCCTCTAGGGAGGTTGTCACAGAAAGCACTGGAGCAGCTTCTCTTAGATTCTGGCCTCCAGGGACTGCTCATGCCTTGAGCTCTTCCATCCCTGACTTAGGGCTCCACAGGTGCCCTTGACCCTTGCAGGGATTCCCCAAATACCTGGGTTCTCCGGCTCATGAGTACTGTCTCCTTGGAGACCACCGAAAGTGCCCGCTAGGGTGCTCTTGCCCACGCCGCTCTCCCCTACCAGCATGACCTTGAAGATGCCATCCTTTTGGGTGAGGCCTGCCTCCCCTGAGCCCAAGGAGTCAGAGGAACCAGAGGATGAGGCTTGAGGTGGCCAATCAAGTTCATCTATGGCCTGAGCGCGCCGCAGCTGGTGCTTGTAGGGGACAGGCATACTGCCTCTTCGTCTGGGGGCCCCTGGGGTAGGGGGTGGCCCACCCCGGTCCAACCCTGCCAACAGCTTCTCTGGCTTCTTCAGCAGTGTGGCATCTGTTTCTGGGGGGGCAAAGAGAAGGAAGCTGTGAGTGTGGGTATGCCTAGCCATCTGCAGAGGGCTCCATCCTGCCTGCTCTGGCCTTAGAGCTCCAGTCGACCACCATGAGCCAGAAGGAGCTGAGAATATATGGTCTGACCCCTGAAACCAAACTCTTCTGGAAGCCTGAACTGGTGAGGCTCAAAGGAGCTGAACTTTGGCTTACCCAATGTGGTTCCAGCCACAACCTGTTCAAAACATCCTCCATGCAGGGGAGGCACCTGTGCACACACTCACACACCCACTCAGGCCTCACAGTGACACACGGGCATACCCCCAGACTAATCCTCTGGCCTGGGGCCCTGGGACCAGCAGGGGTGGGGGTGGGGTGGGGGGTGCTACCCCTCCTTCTCCCAGGAGGTCCTGACTCCTTCTGCTTCCCCAACTAACTGGTAATCCCCACACTGAGGAGGGGTGCAGGGGACAAGAAGCCGAAGGTGCTGGGGGGTGGATAGTGGTAGAGTCAAAAACTTTGTGGGGAGCCTATTCCCAGGGCAGGGCCTTGGCTCTGTATATGATGCGCGCATTGGGTGTCCCTCTGCCCGCGTGTGAGCGGAACTGCCTTTTCCTGTGGCCCTGTAGGTGACCATCCCCCAGTGCATGGTTGTGTGTGAGAATCCTGCGTCTCTGGCTGTCCCCGTGAGTACCAGAGAATCTTCTGTTCGTGGTGAGGAAGAGGGAGGGAGGGAGTGGGGGAGAGAGCGAGAGAGCGGGAGCATGAGCAAGAGGGAGAGTGACAATGCATGGGGTCAGGGAAACTGGAAGAAGAAGGACAGACACAACAAAGGGGGATGATGAGAGGCTGGAAATGGCCCAGGATTGATACTTGGCTGGCAGCCAGGGCCTCCAAGGGCCAGTGAAACCCTTCCAACAGGTCCCCAGGGTAGCCCCCAGCCCGTGGTTCCCAGGCTTGTGGGCTGCCCCTTCCCTTTCCCCCACCCCTCCTGCCCATCCCAGCCTCTTGGGAATGAGGCTGACCTAGGGGCTAAGCACTAGTGTCCCCAGTGAAGCCCTGGAGGTGATGGGAGAGGGGGGGTTAGCCGCCGCCCCCCTCCCCCCTGCAACCCCCAGCCCAGCCCTGCCCAGCCTGGTGTGAGCGGGAGGCTTCCCCACTTCCTGAGTTGCTCTTCCCCTTTGCTGTTTGGGTTCAGGCTCCGTCAACCCCCAGTTGTGACCTCCCAGCTTTGGCTCCCACCCCCATGGTTTCAGCTGGAACCTGCCCGGTCAGTCCTCACCTGGCGTGGGTGTCCCTGGGGGGGAGGCCTGGTGGCTGCCGGAGGGGCAGAGGGCTGTGGTTTCTGTGTCCGTGTCCATGTCAGTGTCGAGGTCCGTGTGCATCGGTGTGCGGTGTGCGTGTGCAGCCCGGCGGCTTGCAGTACCCACTCCCTCAGCAGCACTGTCAGCTTTTCCCTTAAATACCACCCCCATGCCCTCCTCCTGCCCCCACACCTGGGGAAATTGTCCCGCCCCCTGATGAGGTCACACATGCTAATGAGCAGTGATGTCAGCGGGATTCCCTCCTTTCTGTGCCCCCCCCCTTCCTTTGTGTCGCTTCCCTCTGGGAGCACACACACTGCTGAGTCTGGTTAAGACCTGAACAAAACGATGTCAGACGGGCGAAAGAGACGGGGGTTCATAGAAGTGGGGTGAGGGGTCAGTGGGTAAGCGAGCTGAGGATGGCCGGAGGCAAGGACCCAGGGACGGAGAGATCTTTCTCCAGGACCCGGGACTGTGCGTCATTGGTCCTTGGACTCCCTGCCTCCTGGCCCAGTGTCCGGCTCAGAGTGGGTGCTAGGTGGGTAAAAGGAGGGCTTAGAGGCAGAAACCAAGAGATTCAGGGTCACTCTGGCACCAAACTTCCCCATCACCCTCCCCTTCCCCCATCCCACCCCTTCTGGGCTAAGACTCACCACGGTAGCTGTTTCCCAATTTGGCCCCCAGGCAGATGGGGGCTCTGAAGAAGGAGAGATGGCTGCCTTGTTTGGGCAGCATTTTGTCACTAGGTTCAGGTGGGTGCAAACCAGGTGAGGACTGCCTCCCCTTCTCTGTCGCCCTGCCAAGCCCACTAACCTACTGTTAATAGGAGAACAGAAGGAGGAGATGGAGCTAAGTCCCCTAGAAGTTCCCAAACCCAGTGCCAGCCTCACTCTCTGTGCTCTCTGGGGCACTAACTTGGCCTCTGGGGCTACACGATGATGTCTGCCTCTTTGTGGAAAACCAGGATGGCTTTACTGCTCCTTTTCTGCCTTGGTCCTTTTCCCTTCAGGTTCCAGCTCTCTTTCTTCCTGACACTGCAAGCACCCAAACATACCTTCTAATTTCCCACCCCATGTTTGCCAGGTGCTGTGCTAAGCACCTCCTTGCGTTCTTCTTTCATCCTCATGACCCGAAGGCTGAGTGGTAGGTGGGGTAGCCTCGCCCCAGATCCATCATGCAGTTGGAAAATGGGGACACTAGGATTCTCACCCTGATTTTCCCAATACCAAAGACTTTTTCATCTGCTGTGCTGCCTTCTTTGTCTTAAATATTCCAACTGTCTGCTATTAATGGGAACAGTCTGTATGGTAAATTCAGTGGACTCCTCCAATGGAAGAGACAAAGAGAAATCTTGGACTAATGTGCAGTGACCACTTATCTGGAGGTCAATTCCAGGGTAACATTTGGGGTCTAGGGAAGGCAGAAAGGACTCCTGAGCAACTACCATACTTATGCACTTTACTCATTGGAGAGACTCTCCAGTCCTCACTCACAGCCTACTTGTCCTTCCTTAGTCAGTTTCAGTATGTCCCTGTACTCAACATTTAGAGGGGCAAGTGACCCCTGGTGGCCTTGTAGCAGGGGAAGCAACACTACAAAAAACTTTTAAAGCAGTCACAAACATTTAAAAAGTGGTCTGAGGGCATTTGACAAAAAAGGCAAACAGCTTCCCTGATACAGTTACAGCCTCTGAAAGCATCGCTATAGAGAAGCCACTGGTTTCTAAGAATTATCCTCAGCTCTCCAGAAAACTGCACATTCTTTCTCAGATGTGCTGAAGATGAACATCATGTTTAGAACAATTTCCTTCCAAAATTAGTTTTAAAAGTTTTACATTGTAAAGAGGTGAGCTTCACGTATCTGGAAAACCCACTTAGGTGGTTGGATTAATTTCTAGGATAACCAGGTGAGGGTGAGTCAGGGGACTGCAGACCCCAGCAGTACTCAGCCAGCCTTGGGTCATAGGAGCAGGCTGGGTTTCATGTTGAACCATCATCTCTTTCTCCCACAGGTAAGAAGTTGTGCGCTTGCCCGTCCCAGCTTCCTCAGGAGTGGGAGATCCTGTGGAATAGTGGGGCAAAGATGAGATTTGGAACTGAATTAGTCCGGATCTAGCTCTGTGTCTCCATAGAGGCCAGGCTAGTCTCACTCCTCTGTGACTGCTCCTGAACCTGTGAATTGGGTTTACAATACTCATGCACAGCCTTGTTATGAGGGTCACCATTAGGCATGAAAAAGGATCTGGCAGTAGGCAGGTTACCCAACTATCTGGTGTTCCTACCACCCCAGGCAGTGTGGCCAGGGGTCCCTCCCCTTCCAGCAGGGTCTGGAGCTTGGTTCAGGTCAATTCTTAAGGACTGAATTCTGGTCTGTGCTCTTACCTCAGATTCTCAGGCTGATCTCCATCTCATGCTGAGAACACCTTCCTCCTCCATAGCCAGAGCCTTTGGCATGAACCCCCCACCCCGATATTGGGCACTTTGGATGACAGGGTCTCTGTCTTGACAGGATGTGAGGTGGTCTCATTTCTTTCTCTTTAGGCCTTGGTGCAAATAAAACTTGACTGACTGCCCCCCAGTGCCCCACCTCTCCTGAGTGGAACTCTCTTATTAGTTTCCCCATGCTGCCTGTACAAGGCTAATCCTCTCTCCTCACCAACCTGGGACTTCACTGTGGCTGACAAAAGTGGTGTCACCCCTTGCGCCTCCCAGAGCATATTATACCCAGCACCTAGAGAAACTTCTCTCAGGCTCAGGAATCCAGTCAAAGCCCTTCCCAGGGTACCCTTGGGTCCTCCCTCTGGCTTTCTGAAGCATTCCACCAGGAGGAGCCTTCTTTTACCTTCAATCTTTGTCCACATTCAAGTTACAAATATCACCAGGAGGTAAAAGGTCTGGAGCAGTACAAGGGATGAAGCTATTGCTGAAGGTTTTTTGGGATGCTATGAAGCAGAAAGGAGCAAGGGAGAGGCACAGATCAGGTGATGGGGATGGAAATCAGCATTCCCTGCTTCCTTGGGCCTGACACCAGGGGAACATAAGGACTGTTGACACTTGGGGAGGCTCACCGGGGGAAGAGTAAGCAAGTATGGGAATCTCTGAAGGCCCTTCTCCAGTCTCTGGAGAGTGTCTGGAGTGAACAGATTCTGGCTCTTTCCCAGGTCAAGATCCCATGAACCCAGGTCTGTACCACATTCACTCTCTGCCACTTCCCTAGGCTCTTGCTCACAGGGAGGAGCAATAGGTAGCTGGTGCTGGTGTGAGGATGCTGACAGGCTGCAGGGCCCCTCCACCAGACGGTGAGAAGAGACCATGCCTGCCAGGAAGGGTGAGGGCAAGCCTGAGGGGAGTCTGTTCTCCAGGGACTGCTTGTTAGCAAATGCCTCACCTCCGCTCGTGGGGGCACCATGTCCACCCCCATAGACTCCATCTGTATCCTTTGTCCCAGTTTTCATTTCAAACACTGGGACGGCTTGTCACTTCGCTTACCAGAAGCTGGACTCCAACATATCTCACAGATTATTCCCCCCTCCATCATCCCATCATCCTCTCCAGCTCTTCAACTCTGGCCACTGCTGACACTCCTGCCCCTTTTCTCAGGAGGGCTGGGGGTCCAGCCACTAGCCCGAGCCTCACATCTGCTTACTCTACTTATCCTGGGATATTCACCCTCTCTAGCATCCACAACTCTATTCCAACTACTGACAACATTCTTCAGAGTTGTTTGGACCCTCTTGTAGGAAGACCTTTTGGATTTGATCAAAGTGATGCCAGCATCTTCACACCCTGAATGTTTGTGACTTTTCTCTCGATTTATCTTTGCCTGCTTTGAATCATCCTGGCTGAGAGTTCATCTGTCTTGCCTAGGACAGACTGTAAGTGCTTGGTGGGGGTGGAGGGTAGAGACCAGGAGTTGTGGTTCCTATGTTCCCCTAGGGACATTCTGCTTCTGATCTGTGCTCTGGGAGTATTCCATAAATGGGAACCTTCCCAGCTACAGGGTCCAGCTGGCTCACCAGACTTCTGGCCTGGTGGGGCATAAAGAGGCTTGCTGCTCACCCCTGGTGTCACTCAAGGTAGAGCTGAGCCCCAGGCAGTGGGTGGGGATGGTGGAGTACTTAGGGTTCTTGGAATCTTCTTACCCTCGAATTGGTAACAGTGTATGGTTAGAAGATGAGTAGGAGGAAGAGGGCAGGAGTTGGGAGTGCAGGCCAGAGGCCTTCCTAGGGAGGAGCAAGGTGAGGCAAACATAAGCTGAGATGGCTAAGACTGGGCTCAGATCATAGCTCATTTACAAAAAAATTAAATTTCTGGCTCCTTTATTTTCAACCTTGACTTGCTGGGCAATGACCTAGCTATGGGACAAAAGCATTTTCTGTGCTCTTTTTATGAGCCAGGCCCCGTAGGAAGGACGACAGTAGGCAAAATCTCAGGCTCTGCCCAAATCCTTCCCCTGGGGGCTGGAGGTCTCCACTCATAATCAACATTCTGGTGCTTGAAGGCCACTTTCGGGCAGTGGTTTGGAAAGGATGGAGTGTCCAGGCCTATGACCCTTCAAGAAATTTACTTTTTAAAAATAGCCACCTGAGTGGTGGTGGTGCAGGGAAACAGTGGTGACAAAGACTATGGTCTCAGGGCCCATGCAGAGGGAGCTCTGTGGGAGCCCATTCCCTGCCAGAGGGATACCTAATGTTACAGCAGCCACACAGGGTCAATAGGAGGCTCAGATGGAGGCTCAGGGAAGGAAGAAGTGGAAGGGAAGCTGAGCTGCCCTCTGAAGGGTTGCTGTCATCATGACCAGAGCCCCCAAGGGAGCTGGGTCACCTCAGGCAAGCAGTGGCTCGTCCTCCGCTTCGACCACCCAGACCCCCGGCTCAGCCAGTGGCAACAGAAGCACATCATCCTCATCCTCTGGGGACAGGACCATTGTGTGGAGTTCGGGTGGCGTCCGAGTTGGTCCTGGGGGCTGAAGGCTGGGCAGGAGGCGGCCTCGCAGGGCCTGCACCACTCCAGATAACAGTGATGGCTCTAGGGGCATGGAGGGCGATGGCCTGGGGGCCTCGGAGGCAGTGGGGGTGTGTGGAGACACACTGGTAGATGAAAGGGGAGCCTTGACTGGCAATGGGGGTGCCTCTTCCCCATCCTGCCCCCCTACCGCCCCACCCTCACGGGCCGGACCTGTGTTGCCATCTAGGGCCTCAAGGGGAGCAGCAGAAGGTGTGACCTGAGATCTGGTCTCAGGGGTCCTGGCTGGGGGGGTGGCTCGAGGAAGCAGGCCCCAGCGGCGGAGCCGGCGCACCAGGCGGCGCATGGAGCGGCCCCGTTGGCGGCGGCGGGCACCTGAGGCAGCCCCTGGAGTCATGTCCTGGCGCAAGATCTGTAGCAGAGAACGCAGGTTGCCTAGCACTGAGTTCTGCAAGAAGAGGAGGCAGACATCAGAGTCAGAGAAGTGAGGAGGTCTGGAAGCCTAAAAGAAGGACAGTATGGTGGCAGGGCCACAGGAGGCTTGGCCTCATGAAGAACCAGGGCTGGGAGGTCACTTACATCATTAGGATTCTCTGTAGGGAAGTCCTCGACAGGCGGGATGGCGCCTTGGGCAATGAGCTGCCCATAGGAGGGTGGCGCCTGCTGCTGCACGATCTCAGCCTCCATCCGGGAGAGGGGGGCGAAGATGCTGGAAGCAACGAGGGCTGCTCAGTCACAGGTGGTGCCAGCCAGAGCAGCCTATCCTACCTAGCCTGGACACATCTCTTCCCTCTGCACCCGGGCTGGGACAACTGAGCTATGCCCTGGCTATGCCCCAAAAGTCATAGGGAACCCCTCCTTCTTTGAGATTGCTTTCAGGTTCTAGATCTCTGCTCAGAGGAGCACCCTGTTGCCAAGCTGGACAGCCTCAGGAACCAACCCAGAGGCAAGTCACCAGAACCTGTCCCCAGTGTGAGCACCCTCATGGTCTCGCCCTTGGGCCCCGTGCCCGGACGGTGGGCTGCACTCTCACCTGTACTCCTGGGTACGAATGGCATAGAGCTTGCAGGTGCAGCCCAGGGCGATGACCAGCAGTAGGCCGCACACCAGGCTGCCGATGACAGCAGCTGTAATGACCTTGCGGGGCAGGGCATAGGAGCAGTCCCATTCATCACTGCCGTCGGCACAGTCTGGCTGCCCATCGCACACCCACGTCTCATACACACACTTCTCGTCCCGGCATCGGAAATTGCCAGGCTGGCAGTGCCGGCAACGTCTCTCATCTGCTCCGTCGGCACAGAAAGTCTGGTAGTTGCAGCGGTCGGCAGGTAGGTAGCAGGCGGTGGCCCCAGGGGTGCCAGCAGCCCCGCAGGGGTAGTGTCCGGGCGGGCAGCTGGGGCAGTTTTCCTCATCCGTGCCATCGGCACAGTCCCACGAGCCGTCACAGCGCTGTGCCTCACTGTAGCAGCGCTCCCCCAGGCCCTCACTGGCCCCCAGGCCAGCACCCAAGCCGCAGGGTCGATCCCAGGGCAGGCAGTAGCCTCGCACGTGGTAGGTGGCATTGAAGCCTCGACCGGTGCTCCAAGCAACCGTGTGGTAGGCCACGATGGCCTGGCCAGAGAGCGTCTCCACGGTGACAGCCTTGCCATTGCTGAAGTGGGTGAGGCTGCGCAGCAGCCGAGGGGTCTTAGGAGGCCCCGGGCCATCATACACATGTACTGCATCTCCATAGCCCAGGTCCAGGGCCGTGAAGCGCACTGCCAGGCGCCGACCGTCATGGGGGTCTAGCAGCCAGAGGCAGGACTGGGGGTGGGAGACTGAGGCCAAGCGTGAGTAGCCGGGGGAAGAGAAGACCCCATAAAAGTCTCCCAAGGTGTGATTGCAAGGTGACGTGGGGACAGGGGCTGGGGTCAGGTCAGGGAAGAGGTCTGAGCTGCAACCTGCCTCGTCAGAGCCATCGCCACAGGCATCGATGTTGTCGCAGCGCTGGGCCAAGGGCACACAGCGGTGGTTCAGGCACTGGAACTCTTCGGGCAGGCACATCAGCCAATCTGCAGAGGTACCATGAAGGGCTTTAACACAAGAGCTGGTGGGATCCTCCCCTCCTCCCTGGGGCTTCTACTACCCGTTCTACTAGTTCCAGAGACATCCCTGTCCAGCATACCTTGGCTGTAAGAGAGCAGGAAGCCCTGGCCCATGGGTGCTCTGGCCCCGGCATAGCTGTATGTGATGGTGACGTTGCCCCCTGGCAGCTGCAGAGGGCTGGCAGGTGCCTCACACAGGGAGATCTGTGGCTGGAGAGGGGAGCGCAGGATTAAGCGCTCTGAGCCACAGGCCAGGTGCAGTTTTTGGAACCTATAGGGGTGGAGGAGAGCAGGATGTGAGATCTTTTTTTTTTTTTTTAATTAAGATTTTAATTTTGGGATACCCGGGTGGCTCAGCAGTTGAGTGTCTGCCTTTGGCTCAGGGTGTGGAGCCTGCTTCTCCCTCTGGCTGTGTCTCTGCCTCTCTCTCTGTGTCTCTCATGAATAAATAAATAAAATCTTAAAAAAAAAAAAAGATTTTCTTTTTAAGTAACCTCCACACCCAATGTGGAGCTCAAACTTGCAACCCAGAGATCAAGAGTCATATGTTCTACCAACCAAGCTAGCTGGCCAGGCGCCCCCCCATGGATGTGAGATATTCTTTTCTTTTCTTTTTTTTTTTTTTTTTAAGATTTTATTTATTGGGCAGCCCTGGTGGCGCAGCGGTTTGGTGCCGCCTGCAGCCTGGGGTGTGATCCTGGAGACCCGGGATCGAGTCCCGCGTCGGGCTCCCTGCATGGAGCGGGCTTCTCCCTCTGTCTGTGTCTCTGCCTCTCTCTCTCTCTGTGTCTGTGAGTAAATAAATAAAATATTAAAAAAAAAGATTTTATTTACTTACTTATTTATTAAAGACTTTTATTTATTTATTAGAGAGAGCATGAGCAGGGCAGGAAGGAGCAGAGGGAGAAGGAGAAGCAGGCTCCCTGCCAAGCAGGGAGCCCTATGCAGGGATTGATCCCAGGACCCTGGGATCATGACCTGAGTTGAAGGCAGACACTTAACCAGCTGAGCCACCCAGATGCCCCAATATTTTATTTATTTGAGAGAGAGAGAATATGAGCAGGGTGAGGGGCAGAGGGAGAAGCGGCTCTCTGCTGAGGAGGGAGCCTGATGTGGGGCTCAATCCTAGGACTCTGGAATCATGACCTGAGCTGAAGGCAGATGCTTAACCAAATGAACCACCCAAGCGCCCCTGGATGTGAGATATTCTTGACCACCAGAATGTTCTTCCTTTCCCAACATTGTCAGGTCCCTTCTACCCTAAGAAGCACAAGCCCCTGCTCATCCACAATCCAAATCAAATAGCCAAATGAACTCAGCCAAATTCCTTCATAGGCAATGGCAGTAATCCTAACAGAGGCCAATGGCAGTAGAGCATTCTGATTCCCTGCCTCTACCCAGACTGCCCTCTTTGCTTTTTTCTGGGTAAATTCTTTTTTTTTTTTTAAGATAGATAGATAGATAGATAGATAGATAGATAGATAGATAGATAGATTTACTTATTTATTTATTTATTTAGAAAGAGAGAGAGCAAGTGAGCGAGCAAGCTAGAGAGAGAACAGGAGTGTAGGGGAGAGGAAGAGGCAGAAGCAGATTCCCCACTAAGCAGGAAGCTGGATGTGAGACTCAATCCCAGGACCCTGGGATCATGACCCAAGCCGAAGGCAGACACTCAACTGACTGAACCACCCAGGTACCCACTGGGTAATTCATGGAGAGTGAATTTTGTGAAGGAAATAGCCAGGTACTAAACATGGGCCCCAATCCAATGGCCCAAGGTCAGAGAAGACAGGGGAGATCTATACTGTTTAAAAGATCTGGGGAGGGCAGCCCCAGTGGCACAGTGGTTTAGCACCGCCTGCCGTCCAGGGTGTGATCCTGGAGACCCGGGATCGAGTCCCATGTTGGGTTCCCTGCATGGAGCCCGCTTCTCCCTCTGCCTGTGTCTCTGCCTCTCTCTCTCTCTCTGAATGAATAAATAAATATTTTAAAAAATAAAATAAAATAAAAGATCTGGGGAGGCTGAGGAAGGTTCTAAGCCAATTAGGAATAGCTTTTGAAACCCAGGCGAGGATATGCAATGGACTGAAGGATACCTCAGAACAGCCATATTCAAGCCCAAGGGCTGTTTCTAGAGTGCCTGCTGTCCTTCAGAGAGGACCAGAGTCCAAGTTAGATGTTTGCCCCACCTCAGCTCCAAATCACTGTGTCTGGGCCAGAACAAGCCAGGCTTTTAGGGCAGACTAAAACAAATCAAATTTTACTCTTCCTTCTGTTGACAGGGATGGAAACTCCATGGAAAAGTGATTCCTGAAGGCTTTCTTTCCTATGGTGAAGGAGGGAGAGGGAGGGAGGGTAGTAATAGGGTATTGGCCTGCTTCTCACCTCACTGTTACAGTCTGCTCCTTGCTCCCCAGGATGAGCCAGGTGCAGTTGGCAGGGGAGCTGTGGCTGTCCCGGCCCAGGGGCCTCTGTAAGGTGCCCTGCACTTCCAAGAGCACGGCCGGAGGATCCTCACAAGCTGGAGACAGAGGAAGGTAGGGTAGTTGGCTGAGTCCATTACTCTCATATCCCCTGCCCCCAGGCTTGAGGCCTCTTAGGGCCTGACCTCTTCAAGAAGGAGCAAGAGAAATTCCACCTCTCCGACCACCCCCCCCACACACACACTCAAATCATAGTTTTCAACTGGCTCCTTTTTTCCCCTACATTCACTATAGCTTCACCTTAAATATCAACACCAGAAACCATCTGGGGGCTGCTTTGGACCAGGAGGAGACGGATATACTGTCTCTACAATCAGGGAGACTACGTTCTGGCTAGGGAGGTCAAGTATGGATACTTGATAAAAACCAATATATTACATAACTACCAAGTGAGAGCTCACACTGGGTCTGTTTCCCCTTTTGTAAAATAAGGATGGATGATCTCCACTCTAAAACTATGGGAGGTGCCGGACGATTCAGGGAGAGAGAATCCTCCTGGATCTTCTCTCATTACCAAGCCCTTGTGGTCGGTCACTGGGGCATCCTCTACTCACCAGGATTTGGGGAAATGATCCGGTCTGAATGTGCCAGAGCGCCTCCTAGAGGAAGAATGAGAAAGGGCAGGGGAGTGCATCGCCCTTAGTTTTCTTCACCTGAGCAACTCAAGGAGGAAAGGGAGCCCTCTGGAACTTCCGGGTAGGTTAAGGGAAGGGGCAGCGGAGCAGGGGAGGGCTGCGCCGTGGGACCTCGAAGGAAGGTACGGCACGCGGCCTGCGGCGGCGGGAGGGCACGGCAGTCTAGGGAAGCCGGCGGGAGGATGCGGGCGGAAGGGAGCGGCTGGCAGCTTCCCGGGGGTTGGGGCAGGCAGCGTCGCAGGCGGCGGCGGGGGCTGGGGGGCGCCGGCAGGCAGGGGAGGGGAGGGGAGGGGAGGGGAGGGGAGGGGAGGGGAGGGGCGGCAGACGGGGACGGGAGTTCGAGTGCCCGGGCCCTGAGCCCTAGGGGCGGGGTGCCGGGTGAGTAGTCTCGTTTCGGTTTCTTACCCAGGAGCAGGAGGAGGAGGAGGGTGAAGGGCAGCATCCTGAGCCGTCCGGGGGTGCAGGAAGAGTCCCGGCACTTCTGTCGCCTACCCCGTGGGGAGGCAGCGCCGCTCTGGGCGTCCGGGCCCCCCACGGCCGCCTCCCCGAGGGGGCTGCATGGCCCGGGCTCCCCCACCGGTGCTCCGGATGCCAGGGCTGAGGGCGCGGCGGCGGCGGCGGCGGCGGCGGCGGCGGCGGCGGCGGCGGCGGCGGCGGCGGCCGTCTGGGAGCAGGGGCGGTGCCTCTCTCCAACTTCGGAGTTGTTTTCCCCGGCCGCCGCCGCGCGGTCTCCGAGGCCGGCTCCCCACGTCCCCGGACTCGGCTCGAGGCCCGGCGCTGGAGCGCGCCCCCGCCCAGAGCCCGCCCGCAGGCCGCGCGCGCTCCTGCCCAGGCCCGGCCGCCACCTGCCGGGGCTCGAGGCCACTTCCTCCTCGGGCCAAACTTTGCCGACGGTCAGCCCCCCGGGCCGGCCCGGGCGCCGCACAACTCCTCCAGCGCGTCCAACCCGCCGGACTCGCGCGGCAGGGGAGCGGGGGAGGGGGACGGGAGGCTCGGCGCAGCTCCCCGGCCCTCGCCCGGGCGGTACCCCTGCCAGCCCCGGGGTTGGAGCAGCCGGGGCGGAGGGAGGGGGCGGGGCCGAGCCTAGCCCCGCCCCCGCCGATCCCCGCGCGCGCCCCGCCCACCCGCTCGCCTTAACCCGTTTCCGGCCGGGCGGGCGGGGCCGCGTCGGACCCACCTCCGCGAGGCGCTCAGCCCGGGCTCCGGGCTCCGGGCTCCGGGCTCCGCCAGTTCAGCCGCTGCGGGGCGGCGCCTTTGTTTCGGGACGCGGCGGTGCGGGGACCACGGCTTATTCCGTAGCTGGCGCTGGGGTCTGTCCTTGGGGCCCTTACGCTCTCAGGACTTTTCTCGGCCTAGCGCCGGAGGTCGGGCAGCACTTTTCGGGTGAGCCTCTATTATAGCAATTACCGCGGGGGGTTCTCACGGTTTGTTTACTCCACTGTCCCGCCTCCGCCCCGCCTCTTCTCCCCGCGCAGAAACTTCCTGTGGGTCGGGGCCTAGACTGTTTGCCTTTGCACCCACGGGGTTTCTCTCCTGCTGAGACGCAGTGAGAACCCAGTTCGTGGTAAATAAACGAATAAATGTACCTTCGCCACTTGCTGACTCTGTGATCTTGAGGAAAATCACGTAACCTCCCTGAGCGTCTCAATTGTAAAATGGGGTTAATAGTGCGACTCTTTTAAGGCTCATTAACATTTAGGGAGGTAATGGTAGTCGAGCACCCAGGAAGTGCTCTGTCCCCTGGAACAATTATTATGACTAGTCACTGGAGATGTTTCTTATTTATGTGGGCTGTAACTACTTATTCCTGCGGCACGGAGAGGTGATATTAGTAAGCAGTAACAATAGCAAATACTTTTTGAGGTTTTTTTTTTTTTTTTCACATTTCAGGCATAGATCCAAGCACTTTTCAAGTATTTGCTCTTTTCATCCTCCTCACAATCCTGTGAAGTAGAAACTACTGTTACTCCCATTTTACAGGCAAGGAAACTCTGGCACTGAGAGGTTAAGAATTTTGCCCAAGATCATGAATCTAGTAAATGCTCAAACGAGGGTTTGAACCTAGACAATCTGGCTCTGGACAGAGTGTACGTTTGCTTCCTTAACGACTCTACTCTCTACAAATGGTGCAAAACACTTTTCTATCCATGACATTTGTTGTTGGCTCCAGTTTTCATATTTTCAAAACTGGAACCACAGTAGGGCCTGAAGCCATAGAGTTGGCCATAAAAAGGCCTTTCTTCCATTTAGACCTTGGTCCCTTGCCAGGGGATGTTGGTCCCTTGGTCTCTCTGTGTCCTCTGCTGTGCTCCCTTTCTGTGCTGCTCTTGGGAATTAATGAGGAGTGACGTAGGATCCTGAGAGTAGGAAAAGGATGTTGAGCAAAGAGAAGCAGGGCAAAGAGGTTGGGAAAATTTAAAATATTTAAGTTCTAAAAGTGATCGTGGAAGTTTTAATTGAGTGCCTGGAACTCTTTTAAGACTCCACTTAGAGGGGCAGCCCGGGTGGCTCAGCGGTTTAGCGCCCCCTTCAGTAGGGGGAGTGATCCTGGAGACCCAGGATGGAGTCCCACGTAGGGCTCCCTGCATGGAGCCTGCTCCTCCCTCTGCCTGTGTCTCTGCCTCTCTCTCTCTCTCTTTCTCTCTCTCTCTTTCTCTCTCGTGAATAAAATAAAATCTTATTCATGAGAGACACACAGAGAGGCAGAGGCAGAGGGGAGAAGCAGGCTCCATGCAGTAAGCCTGATGTGGGACTTGATCCCGGGTCTCCAGGATCATGCCCTGGTCTGAAGGCGCTTAACTGCTGAGCCACCCAGGTGTCCCTAAATAAAATCTAAAAAAAAAAAAAAAAAAAAAGTTAAAAAGAAAAGATTCCACTTGAACTTCATGGACTTCATGGAACTTACTACTTCAGAAGAGAGGTGAGATATACAAAGAAAGAATCCAGATAGCCATGAGGAGTACCCATGGGAGTGAGTGGGCATGTGGGGGAGTGAGGAGTTCAGATAGGAAGCAGAAAAGGTGGTAGTGAAGTGGGAAAAGTTGTGGGAGGCAGGGAAAGGAGGAAGGGAGAAGGAGGAGGGGAGCCCATGGTCTGGGACACCCAGTAAATGAAAATTTGCCAAAAAATAAAGTCAAGATCTAGGCTGTGGGAGCAATCATTATCATTAGGAAGAAATGGCACCAGGGTAGAATGAACTTTTTTTTTTTTTAGAACGAACTTTCATTCTCAAAGTATTTAGAGTGCCTTCCAAGTGCAAGGCACTAAACTAGACAGTGGGGTTTCATTTTTTTTTTTAAGATTTTACTTATTTATTCATGAGAGACACAGAGAGAGAGGGGGCAGAAACACAGGCAGAGGGAGAAGCAGGCTCCATGCAGGGAGCCTGATGCGGGACTGATCCCAGGACTCCAGGATCACACCCTGGGCCAAAGGCAGGCGCTAAACCACTGAGCCACCCAGGGATCCCCCTGGGGTTTCATATTTAAGAGTGAATCCAAGGGTCACCTGGGTAGCTCAGTGGTTGAGCATCTGCCTTTGGCCCAGGGCGTGATCCCGGAGTCCCAGGATCAATTCCTGCATCGGGCTCCCTGCATGGAGCCTGCTTCTCCCTCTGCCTATGTCTCTGCCTCTTTCTTTCTGTGTGTGTCTCTCATAAATAAATAAATAAAATCTTTTAAAAAATAAAAAAGAGTGAATTCAAGCCCCAAGACAATAGGAAGAAATTAGAGGACCTAGGTGCTTTAAAATGAGTTTAAATTTTAATTAGTCTAGTGAGTTTAAGTGTCTAGGCCCATGTAAATCACATCCTGGAACATCAAGTACATTTAGGAGTGGGCCTGTGGAGATGTTCTTGGAAAATCTTGAGGAATTATGAAAAATAGTGGAAGTAGTGGAAAATGGGCAGATATTTGGTTTTCAAAATGATAATACCTAACTTTGGTAGACTACCTGCCTATGGCAGCGCTTCTGGTGTATTATCTCATTTAATCCTCACCACACCTCTAGGAAGTAGGTGTATTTTTGCCCTCCTTTTATAATTGAGGAAACTGAGTCATAGGTAGGTGAGATAAGTTGCTCAAGATGAAACTACTAGTACGTGCAGGAGCGAGGTGCTATTGTCTGAATGTGTTCCCCCAACCCCCAAATTCGAAAGTTGATTTCCTAACCTCCAAAGATGATACTATTAGAAGGTAGGCCTTTGGGAGATGTTAAGTCCATGAGATGGAGCCCTCAATGGGACTAGTGCCTTTTATAAAAGAGACCCTAGAGAGGTCCCTCCCTAACCACTATGAGTGGGAGCAGTGAGAAGGTTTGGCAGTGAACCAGGAAGAGGGCCCTCACCTTTAGGTGACCACTGGTGCCTTGATCTTGGGCTTCTCCGTCTCTAGAACTGTGAGCAATAAATCTACCCAGTTGGTGGAATTTTTGCTCTACAGCCCAAATGGAGTAAGACAGAGACTTGCTACTGAGAAGTTGGAGTGCTGTAATAACAAATGCCTAAGAATGTGGAAGTGGCTTTAGAACTGGGAAATGGGCAGAGGCCAGAGGGGCATGCTAGAGGAAGCCAACATTGCCCTGAACAGACTATTAAGGGTGCTTCTTGGGGCTGCTCAGAAGGAGAGAGCTGTATAGACCTCAGTCTCTTTGGATGACCTAAGTGGTAGTGCACAGAATGTGGATAGAAATATAGATGGTGAAAGTCACTCTGATTGGGTCCCAGATGGAGAGGAGGGACAAAAAAAAATTGGAAATTTTTTTAAAAAGATTTATTTATTTACTGATGAGAGACAGAGAGAGAGAGAGAGAGAGAGAGAGAGAGAGAGGAGCAGAGGCACAGGCAGAGGGAGAAGCAGGCTCCATGCAGGAAGCCTGACATGGGACTCGACCCGGGGTTGCCAGGACCACACCCTGGGCTGCAGGCGGCGCTAAACCCCTGCGCCACCGGGGCTGCCCTAATTGGAAATTTTTTAAGTAATCTCTGTACACATTGTGGGGCGACCCAAGATCAAGAGCCACATGCTGTTACCTACTGAGCCAGCCAGGCGCCCCAATTGGTTGAAGAAATTTCTAAGCAAAGTGTTGAGGAAGTAGCCTCGTTTCCCTTGAATACTTAAAGTAAAATGCTAGAAAAGAGAAACAATTTAGAGGTGGAATTGTGAATCAAAAAGGATACAGAACTAAATTGGAAAATTCTTATCACTGTCTAATATTCTCTATATATTTTACTCATTTATCATGTTTACATTGCCTGCTCCTCCTGCAAGAATGTAAGTTCCACCGGGCAGGGATCTGTTTGTTTACTAGTGTATCCCTAGTGCCAAAAACAGTGTCTGACACAAAGTAGGTACTCAGTAAATGTTTGCTGAATGAATGCCAGTCATAGGTATCATGTAGAATACATCTTTTAACTCACTCAACTACTCTTTCAATTGTTAGCCCCATTTTAAAGGTGAGGAAATGCAAGCCCAGGACAGTTACATGACCTGCTGGATTCAAACTTGGATTGCATAACTCCAGGGCCCTTGTTCCTTTTTTTTTTTTTTTTTAAGATTTTATTTATTTATTCCTGAGATACAGAGAGGCAGAGACATAGACAGAGGGATCATGCCCTGAGCCGAAGGCAGATGCTCAACCCTTGAAGCCCTTGTTCCTAACCATTATACCATACTGCCCCTCTCTCTGTGCTGGAAGCTATGCTTTATTAAATTGTATTTATTTATTCATGAGAGACACAGAGAGAATGAGAGAGAGGCAGAGACACAGGTGGAGGAAGAAGCAGGCTCCCTGCAGGGAGCCTGATGTAGGACTTGATCCCAGGACCCTGAGATCATCCCCTGAGCCAAAGGCAGATGCTCAACCACTGAGCCACCCAGGTGCCCCTGGAAGCTATGTTTTAAAAGATTGATACAATGGGGGTGCCTGGCTGGCTTAGTCGGTGGAGCACAAGACTCTTGATCTGTGGGTTGTGAGTTTTAGCCCCACATTGGGTGTAGAGATTACCTTAAAATAAAATCTTAAAAAAAAATTGATATAATGAATGCTGAGGAGTCTCTAAGCCATGTCATGTGATAAGCTGTTTATGGACGTAGAAAGGCTTTTCACCTAAAAAAAAGCTTACCTTGAGTGAGGGATTGAATGTATGAAAACTAGATCCAAATATTTGAAGAGCTATAGCATGAAAGAAGAATTTGTTCTGTACAGTCTGAAGGAAAGAATCTGGGGGCGCCTGGGTGGCTCAGCTGGTTGAGTGTCTGCCTTCAGCTTAGGTTATGATCCCAGGGACACAGGATGGAGCCTGGCCCCCTGTTGAGGCCCCATGTCTGGCTCACCACACAGTGCGAGTCTGCTTCTCCCTCTGCCCCTGCAGAGGTAAGGCTGATGCAGAGGGACAGATGTCCTGGATCTTCAGGGTTTGTTGGCAATTCTATGACTCCTGAACTTCATGATGGCATAATTTTCCAGAAAACAAGGGCAAAGAAGCTTCTAGAAGTGAGTTGTGTTTGATGCTAACATGAAGCCCAGATAATGAAAGCAGAGAAAAGCCCTGGGGTGGGAAGAAAGAGGTCATGAGGGCCATTTAAGGAGAAGTTTCAGTGCTCAATTTGGTAGCACATATACTAAAATTGGAACAATACAAGGAAGATTAGCAGGGCCCTGGGCAAAGATGACATGAATTAAAAAAAAAAAAAGATGACATGAATTCATGAAACATTCCATATTTTTATTGTACACTTAAAACTAATTAATACTTTGTTAAACTTTTTTTAAAATTTTATTTATTTATTCATGAGAGAGGCGGAGACACAGGCAGAGGGAGATGCAAGTTCCATACAGGGAGGGAATCTGATGTGGGATTCGACCTCAGGACTCCAGGATCACGCCCTGGGCCAAAGGCAGGTGCTAAACCGCTAAGCCACCCAGGGATCCTGTTCATTTTGTTTTTTTAAGGAAGTTTTGGTAATTGCTTGGGTTGCCTTCGCAGATGTGGAGGTTAGTTTAAAAAGAAATGACTAGTTGGGGCACCTGGCTAGCTACGTTGGAAGAGCACGCTACTCTTGATCTTGGGTTTGTGAGTTCGAACCCCATATTGGGTGTAGAGATTACTTAAATGAATAAATAACTTTTAAAAACTTTAAAAAAATGACTAGTGAAGGAACACAGACAGCTGTTGAAAAGCCTTGGCTTGGGATCCCTGGGTGGCCCAGCGGTTTGGCGCCTACCTTTGGCCCAGGGTGCGATCCTGGAGTCCGGGGTCCCACGTCAGGCTCCCGGGGCATGGAGCCTGCTTCTCTCTCTGCCTGTGTCTCTGCCTCTCTCTCTCTCTATGTCTATCATAAAAAAATAAATAAAATATTAAAAAAAAAAAGAAAAACCTTGGCTCGACAGAAAAGGGGGATATGAGGGAAATCATTCAAGGCTGCAGCAGTATCCAGGAAAGAGCTTTTCAAGATGTGGAAACTTCTGTGTTTGAAGGGAGTGGAAATTAAAGACCCTGCCATATGGTTACAGGAGCAAGTTTCCTTGTGCTTTGGAAAGAATGAGATGCTGGATTGGAGACACACCTCAGTGGTTTGGAGCAACCTCAATCATGGCCATTTTGGGGGTGTCTGGTGTATTGCAAAATTAAATACTAAGATAGATGGTTTGGAAAATATTTAGTATATTCTATTTATTTATTTACAAATATTTCATTTTTAAAGTAATCTCTACACCCAACATGGGGCCTAAACTCACAACCCTGAGATCAAGAGCCACCGACCAGGCACCCTAATACTTTGCCTATTTTATATGTTTCTATTTAACAGTTGAAAACTTGGGGCATCTGGGTGGTTCAGTGGTAGAGTCTGCCTTTGCCTCAGGTCATGATCCCCAGGTCCTGGGATGAGTCCCACAGCAGGCTCCCCAGAGGGAGCCTGCTTCTTCCTCTGCTTATATCTCTGCCTCTCTCTCTCTCTGTCTCCCATGAATAAATAAATAAAATCTTTAAAAAAAATCAAACGATGGGCAGCCCGGGTGGCTCAGCAGTTTAAGCACTGCCTTCCGTCCAGGGCGTGAGTGATCCTGGAGACCCCGGATTGAGTCCCACGTCAGGCTCCCTGCAAGGAGCCTGCTTCTCCCTCTGCCTGTGTCTCTGCCTCTCTCTCTCTCTCCTCTCTGTGTATTCTCGTGAATAAATAAATAAAAATCTTTAAAAAAAAATAAAAAAATAAATCAAACGAAAACTCTTTGCATAAACAAAGCAATAATATAGTGATAGTCACAAAATACCTACAGGCATTTTTTTTTTTTTTTTAAGTACAAGAGCCCTATAAATGTGAGACAGACTATAGGATCCTCCTGGGGTGAAGATGAGGTTAGGGTGGGGATGAGGTTAGGAGGTTGGGTGCAGGTTAGAGGCGCCCCAGTGAGGGGGTATGATCTCCGTAGGCCTCAGCGAAGTGACACAGGATTGCCCACTCTGGGACAAAGGAGGCCGTGGGCCCTGGCCAGAAGTTCTGTGAAAGCTCCGGGAGGTCTGAGCCCAGGGGAAGGGCATCTTGGAGCCATCAGTGTCCGAGGCGTTCACAGGGGGGCAGCCTGGTGACTCCGAGGAGCTCTGAGAGGGCACCAAGTGCCCCCTTCTTCCTCCAGCACCCCCTCAACTCACTCCCTCTTCCTTCCTGGAGTTTTTTGAGGGCTGCGCACCAACCCCCGCACAGCCACAGCCGAGGGAAACTCTTCTCTGCAGCTGGAAGACAGCTTTGTCATCCTGTTGCACCCAGAGTCCCACCCCTTTAAGTACAGGTGTCCTGGGTGGAAACATGGAAAGTGGGAAGGGGGGACTCCTGGGTGGCTCGGCGGTTGAGCATCTGCCTTCAGCTCAGGGTGTGATCCCGGAATCCCAGGATCCAGTCCCACATCGGGCTCCCCACAGGGAGCCTGCTTCTCCATCGCCTGTGTCTCTGCCTCTCTCTCTGTGTCTCTCATGAATAAATAAATAAAATCTTGAAAGAAAGAAAGAAAGAAAGAAAGAAAGAAAGAAAGAAAGAAAGAAAGAAAGAGAAAGAAAGAAAGAAAAAAAAAAAAAAGAAAAAGAAGAAAGGGGAAGGGACCCCTGGGTCGCTCAGGGGTTGAGTGTCTGCCTTTGGACCCTGGAGACCGAGAATCGAGAATCGAGTCCCACGTCGGGCTCCCTGCATGGAGGCTGCTTCTCCCTCTGCCTGTGTCTCTGCCTCTCTCTCTCTCTCTCTCTCTCTGTCTCTGTCTCTCAAGAATAAATAAATAAAATCTTAAAAAAAAAAAAAAGGAAAGGGGGAAGGAACAGGCTGGCGGTATCCCTGGCCCTTGTTGGGGGGCTGCCCTGGCCCTTGCCTCTCTCAGGCTTGGTTTGCAGTGCCAACACCGAGCACAAGGGGGCGCTATCGGCCCGTGAACCCTGCCCGGCTGGGCTCTGCAGCAGAGGGGGTGCGGCCAGCCGAGAGTGAGGTGGGTGTTCTTCTGGACCCCTTGTCCAGGTTCCGCCGCACAGAATTCATGTGCAGCTTTCTGCAGGCAAGGGGTGGGGGGCTCTGGAGCACAGGCCAGTAAAGCAGAGGAGAGACTGTGGGGACAACTGGGCGTGTTGCTTAGAGAGGTGTCTGGAGGTGAGAGCTTTGTGTGGGCCCTCCAGGTCAGGGTTCAGGGACAGGCTGGACTGAGGGTACAGTCTGCAGGATTGGTATTTCCAGAAGCACTGGATTAACACAACCTGATACCAATCACTCCCAGATCGAGGGCAGGCTGTGGGGGACACATGAGGGGGCCACAGGGACAAAGTAGTTGCTTAGGAGTGAGGAACTTGTTACCTTGATATATATTTTTTCTTTTTTTAGCTTTTTATTTTTAAAATTATTATTTTTAAAGATTTTAATTGTTCATTTAAGAGAGAGAAAGAGACGGCATGAGTGAGGGGAAGGGGCAGAGGGAGAGAGAGAAGCAGACTCCCCCTGAGTAGGGAGCCTGACCCCAAGACCCTGGGATCATGACCTGAGCCAAAGGCAGATGCTCAACCAACTGAGCCACCCAGGTGCCCTTTTATTTTTAAGATTTTATCTATTTATTCATGAGAGACACACAGGCAGAGACATAGATGGAGAAGCAGGCTCCCCACAGGGAGCCTGATGTGGGACTTGATCCCAGACTGCTGATCATGCCCTGAGGCGAAGACAGACGCTCAACTGCTGAGCCACCCAGGTGTCCCTTTAACTTTTTAAAGATTGAGGTGAGGGCAGCCCTGGGTGGCTCAGCTGTTTAGCGCCGCCTTCAACCCAGGGTGTGATCCTGGAGACCTGGGATCAAGTCCCACATCGGGCTCCCTGCATGGAGCCTGCTTCTCCCTCTGCCTGTGTCTCTGCCTCTCTCTGTCTGTCTCTCATGAATAAATAAACCAAAAAAATCTTTTAAAAAATAAAATAAAAATAAATAGGTAAATAAATAAAGATTGAGGTGAAAATACAGTAAAGTTCATAAAATGTACTAAAACCCACAGCTCGATGATTTTTTAATTTACATATACACAATACTTGTATACATATGTGTACAGTAATCACATATGCACGGCTACAGCCATTTACTTGTGTATCTCACAACTTTCACTGGCGATTGAAGTCAACAAACTTTTATTAAGGCGCTCCTGTGTGCCTGGCACCATCCTACTCCTTTGTAAGGAAACGAACGAGAACAGAACATGTTTGTCCCATGGCTGTGGTGGGGTCAGTGTTATTATGAATCATAGTCATTCCTTGACAGAACTATCCCATCAGTGCCACGGAGGGCAGAGGCAGGCAGTGTGATCTACTTGCAAGGGCCATATTTTTGGAATCTAGAATGGGATGAATTGTCTGCCAAATTGAAGAGGCTAACTAATGCACAGAACCTCAGGAAGATATTATTGGATCCAGGATATATGGTCAGGGCAGCCGTGCTCCTAGCACAGAGCCAGACACTGAGTGGCCAAGGAGAGCATTTTTGGGAATTGATTTTGCTCTCTGGCCTGGTGCTACATGTCTCTGGAAGCTGAGCAAAGGGTGACGTCTTTGACCACAGGCTGGATCAAAATGAGCTGGAGCTTGTCGCGTGTGTGTGAATCCGCTAGGCCTTCAGAGGCACCAGGCTTTTCCCCTCCCTTGTGGTCATCCTGGCCTTGCCCCACCCAGACCCCATCCTGCCCCAAATCAGGGAAGTGCCCCTATTGGGAAGTGAAGTGTGTGAGCAGGATGTGACCCATGGTGAGGCAGCTCCCAGACCTGACCTGGTCCCTGAGTCAATGAGCTACTTCAGGCGCTCAGAGGAAGTCCTTCCGCCAATTCACTCCAGTGTGGACACCTCTTCTGTGCCCTCTGCTGCCCCTCCCCACCCAGGTATGGGTCTTTGAGGGCAGGAAGCTCACCTCTCTCTCCTCTAAGCCACAAAGGGCCTATTGGAGAAATAAGGTACCCTGAGGGAGGGGGAGCACTGCCTCAGTATGGAGGCAGTAGAAGCTTCTCCCTTGGGGTGTGGTGACAGCCCTGCCCCAGGGTGCCCCGGGACTCCTGTTGTAAAGCCCAGAGTCCGGGACTGATGAGGGACAGAGGAGAACAGAGGGGGCTGGATCTGGCTGGGGAAGGCTGGCCTGGAAGGCACACAGCCTTCGGCCCTGGGCCAGGATGGAAAGTATGTGTGTGAGCTCATTTGGAAGGTGGCTTCTGGCCAGTCAGGACTGCCTCCTTTCCAGGCCCCAATCACTCAGCCCCCTTGAGGGCTGCCACTGGGTCTCCCCACTCTCCCAAGACTGTCTGAGGGAGGAAGGCCAAGACCCCAGTTTAGGTGGGCAGGCACTGGTCTAAAGGAAGTGAATTCAGATTTGGGGTAGGGGGGTAAGAAGGAGGTACAGGACTGCAGGACAATGGAGTAGCCTTGACTGGGGTTTCCTTGGGGCCTCGGGGAGTGGGAACTGTCCTCCTAGGCCCTTGCCACAGCCACTCACCACACCCATCCCTCCCATAGCTGCTGCTACTCAGGCCCTCTGGCTTCTGAGTCCTTCCTGTTTCATCCTTCCTGCCCAAAGAGTGCCTGTTCTTGTCCCCCAAAGGGGACATAACTGCAGGCAAAGTGGGTTCCTGAGGAAGAGCCCTTCTCTTGCTGCATTCCTACTCCCCATGCCAATGCTGCCACATGGAACAGTAGGCAAGCACACCTGTGCTGTCAGAACCTGTGAGAACATGCACTACCACACAGACACCCAGCCACATAGGGTCCACGCTGGAAGAGACACCCAGAGACATGGTCAGAATCTACCTACACAGAAAAACAAACAAACACAAAAAATCAGATAGACCTGGGTTTTAATTTTGGACGAAGTATGACCTTCAGGAAGTCTTATCTAGGCCTCCTTTTCCAATCCTGTAAAATGGGGGCAGTGGTAGTGCCTAGGTGTTGGGTGTTATGAGGACCTCAGCAAATGTTTTTTGTTTGTTTTGTTTTGTTTTGTTTTTACCACATTCTTTTAGCTGGAAAGGGAAGTAGGAGTACAAAGGGGAAGGAGGACTGGGAGGTTTCTCAGAGGGAGAAGGGGGCCCAGGGGAGGGACAGTAAAGGACCGCCAGAGCCCGCCAGGTAGTATGTGAGGGGTCACTCTGAATAGTCCTCTTTCCTCTAGAGGGCCCAGCCCCTCTGAGATCTTTCCTTCTTGTGTCACTGACCCAGCACCTGGCTGGCAGCCTTGGAGGTGTGGGACCTGCTGGGGGCAGGAGTGCTGAGGGAGTCTGTGGTTCCCCCCTCAAATGTGTGGGGTACACTAGTGGGCAGAGCATTGCCTTCCCTCAGCGCTTGCCCCTGCTCCAGTCTCCTTAGAGGCCGCTCTCCTGGGTTCTGCCCAAACCTCCTTGCAGATTCCCCTTGGCTCCCTCCTGGCTGCTCTAGCTCACATGTGCTGCTTTCGAATACAGGAACTTGGAACCTTAGAAACTGGGTCAGGCCCAATGGACAAAGCGGGCTAGGGCCAGTAAAAGCAGCATTTTCAGGTCTCTCGGGAGCCACTGGGACCTCTGTTCTCCCCTCGCCCTGCCTGACCCTGTGTGATCAGCAAGGCACCTCCCAGGGTCCCTGGGTGGCCTCACGAGGCTGGATCCCTTCAGCCTGGTGCACGTCAGAAGCACGGGACCTTGGCGGCCTCCACCCCACAGTTCTCCTTGCTTGCGAAGCCTCTTCCACCTCTTCCCCCTTTGTCTCTGGTCCTCGGTTCCCATCCCTCTTCCTTGGCTTCAGAGAGCATCTTGTGATTCCAGAATCAGGGCCAAACAATTTCCTCGTGATGGGGAAACCGCACTCCAGCCGCGGCAGCCCTAGGCTCCCCCTCCTCTTTCCTCTGGCAGTCCCCCCACCTCCCCAGGCTCTTTTGCTGGCTCCAGCTGTGTTTTGCAGAACTCCCACTGGATAACATCTGTAATTGCCTCCAGATGTGGGCCACAAAAACACAAAGGGGCCATGAGCTCATCTTTGAGCTCCTTGTGACATGCACAGCCCCCCACCCACCCCCTAGACAACCCCTGGCTTTCCCATGCCAGCTTCCCCTCCTCTGTCCCTATCCCCTCCCGTGAGGGCAGCAGGGCAGTGGTGTCCAGATCCACTGAGATGTACAGGCTCTGCCAAACAGCTGTTGGCAGGAGAGGTAGAGGAGGCCAGGCTTGGGGTCAGGGTTCCTGGCTGGCAGAGAGGTGGGGTACCCCTTCTGCCAAGGCAATCACACCGACCAGCCCTGAAGAGCAGCTGGATAGAACCCCTGGCTTAGGTGGGGCCATTGCTCGTGGAGGAAGGCTGTGGAGGGGGGCCTGGGGTGGAGTGGGGGGGGGCGGGGCTGGCCTAAAGCAGGAAGGGAAGGGGAGGAAGAAAGAGGGCTGCTCCCCTTCAGCTGAGCTGACTCAGCAACTGAGCTATTCCTCCCTCCAGGCTGGTTTCAGAGGAAGGGTGGGCCGACAGCCTGGGAACCCTGTCTGGGGCAGCAGTTCCAAAGAAACAAAGCCTTGTTATTCTTCCCTTCCAACCTGACCATCCTGCCTCTGCTGGGCTGATTGGGGGAGATTCCTGTTTGACCAGAGACTGGCTGCTCCTAATTGGCCATGGGGCAACATCTGTCCTTCGCCTGTGTTCCTCCTGCCCCTGGGGCAGAGCTCCAGGTCTAGAAGAGGCTGAGAGGCCGGAGGGCTGGGGTAAAGGGCCTACTTGTGCTGAATGTGATCCCGGGAGTCCCCAGCAGCAGAGAGAGGTCTGAAGAAACGGAGGGTCTGCGGCCAGATCACGGGACCTGGTAATGCAGGTAATTTAGGAAGATTTTCCAAGTGGCCTCAGCTTGACCACTTCCTCCTGTCTTTGCAGCTCTGAGACTCAAAAAGGTAACCTCTTGGCCTGGTTGGGAGAGAAGCAGCTGGGCTCTGTGGACCCCTCCCTGCCTCCATGGAGTAGGCCCTCCTTCCCAGCTATGGCTCTGAATCCCTGTTGTCCACCAAACATAAACATATTCCTTTGTGCAAGTACTGAACCCCCACATCAGAGAAAACCCTGGTCCTGGGCATGCTTTCCATTACCTAGCTGAGAGAAGGCAGCCACACAAAGAACGTGAAACACCATTTATTCTTTGTGGAAAGGTTGAACAAGGTCAAAAATGTCCTTAGAGGGCACTGACCCAGCCCCGCCCTGCAGGTTCCTGGGGTCAGATGCCTCTGCCCCCCCACCCCCACCCTTCCCATGCCCCTTGTTAACAAAAAGGAACGATTTGAAGGAAATCCATATATAATAATTATAATAAAAATATACATTAAACAAAACAAAACAAAAAAAAAAAAAACCAAACAAGACAAATTTAGCCGAACTGCCAGCACCGTTCATCCCCCCCCCCGCCTCCCCCCTGCCCAACATCCCTCCTCTCACTGCCCCTATAGGGTCTCACTCTCCCAAGTCTTCCGGTACCATGACCACCTGTAGCGGCCAGAGGAGACTTTGAATGGGTGGGTTGGGTGGGGGAGAGGACACGGGCAGGGCTGAGGGGTGGGGGCATTAGAAAGTGAGGGGCTCACCTGACGATAGACCCACCCAGGCAGCTGCCCCCTCCCCGAAACCAGCTGAGGCTGCCCGTCATCGTGCTGCCAGCCCCTGGTCACCTCCCTAACCAGGTGGCCACCCTCACGAAGGTCCCCAGTCGCCAGTCCCGGGATGTGTGTCATCTCTGCTCTTTTCACTGGACTCCCCACCCTTCCAATGCACCTACTCTGGTGAGAGGAAGGGCACCAAAGTGGAGTAGGTGTGCCTTTCTCCAGCCCTTCCTCAGAGCTCCAGTAAAACATGCCCTCCCCTGGGGCCCACAGCCCACCTTGTGGTGTCCCTGCTGGCCTGGCCTGCCGAGCCACTCGGCCCTCCACGCCCACAGCACCTCCCTGGTTAGCCTTTTGGTCCTGTCCTATCCCCTTCTGACTGCCCCTTGGTCCCCATCCCAGCTGCCTACATTTGAGCAAGATTCTCTTTCTGTGGCCTTGAGGCTCACCCCCAGGGCTCCTGACAGGCTCTCTCCTTGGCCCCACCCTACCCCAGTAGCGGCAGCGTGGGCTCCTCCATCCTTGACATCTCCAGCCTCGGCTGACATTTGCAGGGGCGGCGGGCATCAAGGGTTTCTACAGCCCCTTAATGGCTCAGGCTTCTTTTGGGGAAGCTCTGGGGGCCAGGTGGGGCAGAGGCAGGTCTCTGCAGAGGCGCTGACTCTGAGCTTTCCTCCCAAGGTTTCAGGGTAACTGTGCAGACCTCCCCCACCCCTCCTACTCTCTCAGGGTCTCCCCCCTCAACAAGATTAGATTCCTTTAGCCAGAAGGGGTGGTAGGAGTTGCCAATGGGGTGCGCCTGGGGGCTTGCAGGGCTGGAGTGCCCAGAGCCTCCTGAGGTCAGAGTTCAGAGGTTAAAGTTACATCAGGGAATAGAAAAGGAGCAGATGACCCCATTTGACCTTTGCCAGCGAGGTCTGAGGGTCCTGCCTTCAAGTGCAGAACCAAGACATTCAGATGGGGCAGGACACACACCAAGCTACAGAGGCCCCTAGGGGATAGGGGCTGGAAGGGGCGGCCCCTGATCAGCCCCCCAGGGATCCATCTAGGGAAGAAGCAATGCCAGGGTTGAGGTCAAAAGAGAGGCAATCATGGGACAGAAGAGAAGGGAGGAAAGGTTGGGAGGGGACTTGGGACCAGGTGGGAGCAGCCCACCCACCACCACCTGCTGCCACTGGCCTTCAGAGGCAAAGTCCTCGTGGTATGAGTGGGCGGGCAGCCGTGGGGGTCAGACCTTGTCCAGCAGGGAGCGCTGGCAATAGAGCAGTCGTTTAGGGGTCCCGTGGCGCCTGAAGAAGAAGACGGCAAGGCCCACTGCCAGCACCAGGAGCAGCAGCAGCACAGGCAGGACTACAGCAGCTGCGCTTACAGCCCCACTGCCTTCTTCGTCCACCTCGATGATGATCACCTCCGTTTCCTCCTCAGTCCCCTCATCTGGCCGGCTCCCCGATGAGGGGCAGCCCATCCAGTCCCGCAGGGCTGACTTGGGGTAGCCTGGCTCTACCTTCAGCTTCTGGTTGTTGAATTTCCAGTATTTGTTCCCCTTGTAGAAGTAAGTGAAGACTGCAGGGGTCAGCAAGAAGGGGGCCAGGAGGATAAGAGGTGGAGGCCGCATCCAGAACACCCACAGAGAGGAGAACAGAAGGGAAATCTGTGAGTCTGTGAGCCAAGCAGGTGGAGTTAATCCCCTAACATCAGTCTCCTCAGCTATAAACCCGGGTAATTCTAAATTACCGGGGCTGGAAGTGCAGTGGGGATTGGGGATCCGATGTGAGGAGAGCACTTGGCTCAGAGCCTGGCATGTGGCGAGGGTTCCAGAGCTCTCATCATCACTGCTTTCCCCAGATCCCCTCAGTCTCTCTTCCTGTTCTTAGTTCTTAATCCCTTTTCCCCATCCTCCCCTCAGGGACATCTCCCTTGCCCCTCACCTTCATCACTGCCCATGAATGACCCTCTGGGAGACTCAGGGATTCCTTCCCAGACCTTGATGTTTTTGGGGTACTCGCTGTCCACTGCTCTGAGTTCCTCATTGAAACGGTAGTACCTGGGGGAGAGGGGGAGGCAAATGGTCGGGCCCTGGGCATGTCTTCAGAGCATGGCAGGGCCCAGGACTGAATTCACCAGTGAGCAAAGAGTGGCTATGGACAGGGTACAGGGCAGGGGTTTTGTGTAATGAGGGCCTGCAGCTGAAAGTGGCGGAAGGTGGGGGTGGATGGGAGGTCCCAGGCTGCAAGGAGCCACCAGTAACCTTTAATGACAGTGCCTGGCAGCTGGGGTGGAGGCACGGTGCTGGGGGCAGGAGGCGCCAAATGACCAGGTCTGAAACGGTGACCCGGTCACTTCCCACTCAGCGCCTCATGGAGGCTGGCTGTTGCTGGGCAACGGCAGAGGATCAACCAGCAACTTCTCCAGGGAACTGTCCTGGGGTAAGTGGGTCTTTCTCCAGAGTTGAGGGAATGTGGTGGTGGCGGTGTCTGAGGAGGGAGGCCTTGGGTCAAGGGGCTGACATCTCACTTGTTTCCCCGGAAGAAGTAGGTCTTTCCATTGGGCATCCAGAAGAGAGCAGCATCGATTTTGTCAGTAGGCAGTCCTCGGCCCAGCTCCTTGATGTGCTTGGGGTAGCCAGGTTCCAGAGAAGCTTCGTCAAACACCCAGTGCTTGTCTCCTGGAGAGGAGAGAGAAGGGCGGGACCTGGGTTCCACTTGGGCTCTTGGGTCTCTGGAGGAGTCCAGTGAAATCCACTCCTGCAGGGAGACTCTCCTTATACCAGAGGACTAAGGCAGAAAGCTGGTTACCTTTGAAGAAGACAAACTTGCCATCCTTCCTCTCGTAGGCAGTGTTGATGGATGCAGGCAGGCCCCGCCAGAACTGGCCGATGGGCATTGGGTATCCATCCATCACTTGGTTATTCCTTACCCTCCAGAACCAGCGCTCCTAGAAAGTAGCAGGGTGGGGATAGTGCATTTCGTCTTATAGCTAGTCCTCTGGCTTAGTCCCCAAAGCTTCCCACTAACCCTCCTGCTGCTGTTTCCACCCAGCCTGCTGGGCTTCGAGCCCTCTTGTTCCTCCAACCAGCCCACTTCTTCCTCTCACCTTGAAGACAAACATCTCCCCTCGGAGCACCGCCACGGTGTCAAAGTTCCCATCACAGATGTTGGGCCCGTAGGTGGGGTTTTTGGGCTTATCAGGGACAGAGGGCCTGGAGGTAGTCCTGGGCTGAGGAGGCATCTTGGTGGGGGACCCTGACTCACTCCCTGATGGAGAGAACACAAGAGACACTTCAGACTTTGTGGCAGAGGGGGAGGAAAGAACAGATATATGGGCAGACAATACTGTTGGAAAAGTGTGGATGGTCCTTTGGGGAAGGATGAAGCAATCACGTGGGAAAGGACAGAAAAGGTGAAATCAAAAGTGGGAGAAGAATAAGACATATGGAAGAAATAATGTAAAAAAAAGAAAAAGTGGGTGGTGGGTGGAGGCAAAGTCAGGTAGGGTTGTGGGGGAGACTATAGGGCATGGGGAAAGAGAAACGAGATGCACAGGTCTGAGACCAAGAGGGGAGAAGGAACAGTTGGGGGCATAAATCACTCACCATAAAGTTGCTGGATGCCCCGGCGGTCGTCATCAGGCAGCACGAAATTCTCTGTGTCCATCCATTGGTAAAAGGGTGCCATGATGGCCGAGGGATCATTGGAATGCTCAAGGCCCAGGGCATGGCCTAGCTCGTGCACAGCCACCAGAAAGATGTCATTCCCTGGAGGGATGGGGATGATTACTGAGGGTCCCTTCCCTCAGACTCTCTGCTTTCCCACCAGAGGCTTCATTTTTACATCGAAGGCTGCCTGTTGTGTTTTCCACCCCAAAAGCCACAAAGCCAGTCAGCAATCTATTCTGGGTAGAGGTAAGAGAGTGCTCAGGGGGCCAGATACCAATCCCAGGAAGACTTGTATTAAGGGAAGCCAAGGTCCCATCTGGGCCCCAGTTTTTTCCAGGAGCTAGAGGTGACATTTGCCTGAAAAAGTGGCAAGTCTTTGACTGGGGAGTCAATTATTGAGTGAGAGAGGGACCAGCTATAAATAGATCAAAGTAAGAATTCTGCTTTAGGGGATCCCTGGGTGGCTCAGTGGTTTAGTGCCTGACTTCAGCCCAGGGCCTGATCCTGGAGACCCGGGATCGAGTCCCACATTGGGCTCCCTGCATGGAGCCTGCTTCTCCTTCTGCCTGTGTCTCTGCCTCTGTCTCCCTCTGCCTCTCATGAAGAAAGAAAAGAAAGAAAGGAAGGAAGGAAAAGAAATAATTCTGCTTTCATTGAAAGTCAGACTAGGAGATCTTTGTAGCCCAGAGACTTTGGGATTTGAGTTTTTTTTGTTTCCTTTTTTAAAGATTTTATTTATTTATCCATGAGAGACACAGAGAGAGAGAGAGTCAGAGACACAGGCAGAGGGAGAAGTAGGCTCCATGCTGGGAGCCTCATGTGAGACTCAAACCCAGACTCCAGGATCAGGCCCTGGGCCGAAGGCAGCGCTAAACCGCTGAGCCACCCGGGCTGCCCAGTTTGAGGTTTTGGGAGTTGGCAGGAGACCCCACCCTCATACAAATGATCATTGACTCTCCCCAGAGTAAATGAGTCCCAGGGCTACTTTGCTCACCATTCAGATCCTCATTCCTGACAGTCCAGGGCTCGGCCGAGTCAAAGTGGGTGTCCCCTCCAATGTTGGGGCCTGGGAAATAGGCATGTGCCAGGAAGCCACCCTCGCCATCAAAAGGTGTGCTGTCACCATGGAAGCCCTCAGCGAAGAAGATCATGATGTCTGCCTGCTTCTCATGGCCCTCGCGGATATAGGCATAGGGTACCTCCCGGAAACGAAGTGGTGTGGCACTCTCCCACACTCGGAATGCCTTGCGAATGGCCTCGAATGTGGCATACTCGCCCACCTTGGGAGTGTAGTTCTGGATGCTGAGGTCCAGCCATGTGGGGAGAGGATGGGAGTATGTTAGGATAACAACGTATAAAATTTTCCTTCCCTCTACTTCCCCAGGTCTGACCGAACCACCTAGCCACCTTTGCTGACCTGGCTCTTCCTGCTGCATCACGATGCCTCTGCCCCCAGAACTGAGGGCTCAGGGAACCCCCAGGCTGCACCTTTCTCCACGATTACAGCCACTTTCCTCCCCATTCCCAAGGATGCTTCATAGCAATAGAGGTGAGTAGGATAGGAGTCCTCAGAGTCTGTTAGTACAATTGATAGGAATGGCGACCCCGATGTGAGAAAGGCAACTTGCCTGCTGGACTCACCAGAAAGTGATCTCATTATGCTGCCATTTGAGGCCCTGAATGGCATAGCGCTTTCTTCGAACATTGGCCTTGATCTCAGCCCCAAATTTATCGGGAACACCACAGCGGGGGCGCCTCATAGCCCTGGGGTGTGAGGATTGTGGTCAGGATAGCATATTAAAGAGAAAGGGCTTCAGAGGAGGGAGAGAGTGCCTGGCCTCAGGGTCAGTGTGGGAAAGGGCCAAGGTTATGGGGTCAGAGTGAATAGGAGGGGGTCAGGACCAGCATGTGGGATTGAGGGAGGGGGCAGAGGTAAGGCATATAGGTAGCAACGCCCCTGTGCTTAGTGTTGTGAGTGGATACTGGGCAGGATTCCTACCAGGGTCTAGCACTTACTTCATGGTGTCTGCATCAGCCTTGCCTGTCACGCGCAGACCATAGAACTTCTGCATGGCAGCGATGGCAGCTGAGAATGACTGGGGTGAGCGCTGTGTGTGAGTGCGCAGATCCCCCGGGGGCAGGTAGCCATACTGCTGCAGCCAGGCCTGTAGGAAGAGGAATGTGGCTTAGAGCATCTCCACTTGGCCCACGGGAGCCTCTGCCTCCACATGGTATCTGGCATGCACCCTTGGCTTCAGAGGAAAGGGCAACGAGCTCGCAGCCTGGCTCTGGCAGTGGGGCTGGAGGAGTTCCCAGGTTGGACCTGAACTCTGGCCCAGGCCCCAGTATGACTTGTCCTCTCGGGGCTATGGGCTCAAACAGGGGTGGGGAGCCACAGCTCTGGCCTTTGGCTGTAACTCTTGAGAAGGGAGCCTAGAGGGCTTAACCGAGTCTTAGGATGTCTTCTCAGAGCTTCCTTCCAGCACTTTCCTTCTCTGTGTCAGTGTTCTTGTAAATACAGCAGTTCCTACCTGTGAATGGGTTGTGCCCATGGAGGCAAAGGGGGGACTCATGGTACTCTGCTTTTGGGCCTGGTATGGGACCCTCTTTGGGCAGGGATGCCATGCCTCCAGGCCCCTCACAGCTGAGATCTTTTTAGAAAGGAGAGCAGAACAGGAGCTAGGGCTGAGGCTGGCTGCTGAGACCGGAAACTGGGACCTTTGGAGGTGGTGGGGGTGTGATCCAGCTAGAGAGCTAGGGTCCTGCCACTGCCTCCATCCAAACATCTGACCCTGGGGCTTGGGACCTAAAGGCCCATTTAAGGTTCTCAGTAGAGGAAGTGGGAGAGACTTGGTGACAGTACTGTACTTGAGGTATGTTGTGAATTGTTCATAACATAAAGGCTGGCATATTGCCTTAACATAAAGTTAGGTTTTTGGTGTTTGAGAAAGGTACACAAAATACAAAGACCTGTCTGTCGAGGAAAAAATCAGCCTTTATTGTAAGAACAATGGAGTATTTTCCTAAAGCCTGCAAAGTAAAACACGCCAAGTTATACATGGAATGTGAAAATGCTTGGATTCTCCAATGGAGATAATACTTTGGTTTCTGCTCCAGCTTTGCCTTCCTGAGGAGTTCAGAGGGGGCCAGCAGGTGGCCTAGGATGAAAACTTTGGAGTGCAGAGGGGTAGGGGCTGCTCTTGGGTGCCACATCCCCCATCCCAGGTTGTTAGGATGGATCTTCATGGAGCCCTTCACTACAGGGCCCAGGCCCTGGTAGTGGAGCAGTGCTTCTGCATTGGGGCTGGGGGTGATTCAAGAGCAGCTGACTGGGGAACATGTGCCCGCAGGGGCAAGAATTGCAACAGGGTTCTGGGAAATGATCCCCCAAGGCTGATGGGAGTTAGGGCCTTGAGATGTAAACAACTCAGCCTTTCCCCAGCCAACGGGCCTGGCCAGAACAACCTTAGCACCACCCGCCTCTGAGAGCCCCTCCTTAGGCAGGCCTAGAGGAGTGAGCCAAGTTTAACCTCTGGCATAACGTAGGGGAGCAGAGCGGGGTGCTCTAGTACCCAGTCGCTCTCTTCAGGAGAGGTATAGACTTGCCCTGACCTGTACTGGCTGGTGCCACAGCTAGTGCCCGCGGGAGGCCTGCTGTGGCCTGTGCCCAAGTATGCAGGAAACTCCCTTTGCCCTTAGCCTCACCTGTAGGGCACACACCCCCCCCCCCATGCTTATGACCCCTGCTCAGGGAGCAGCTGCTTCAGCTTTGGAGAAGGATGGGAGTGGGCTTCTCCTGGAGCTGGAAGTCAGGAAGACTTAAGTCAGGCTCCCTCAGGCCTCAGGGAACAAAACTGAGGGGAATTCTCTTAGGGCAGAATGACAGAATGGAGGGTAGCAGAGAAGTGACGAGAATCCAGATCCAGGAGCTCTGGGATAAATCCCTCTCCTTGATGAGTTTTCCAAGAAAGTAGGCAAGTCCAAGTATTCACACCCACAATATCCACCCCATACACAACAGAGAAAAATGGAGACTTAGGAAGGAAAGGAACTTCCCTAGAGTCAAGAGAGAGCCTCATGGCCTGGAAAGGAAATACCCCCATCCCTCTCCCCTCAGGCCTAGGTTCTGAGCAAAGCAAGAACCACAGAGAAGACTAGGAGGTGAGGATGGAACCACAGAAGAGAGGACTCTTGTGTCTGTGGCTGGGTGGGGGAAGGGCTGAGTGCCAGACAGGCCACGGGGAGGAGAAGGCTGTCCTGGAGCTAGTGCAGGACTCTGGAGGCCTGGTGGGAGGGACCCGGCTGCCTGAGGCCTGGCCACCCCAGCTCGCCCTCTAGATTGGCCTGGAGAGGGAGCAACTATGTTAGGTCAAAAAACTCAGTTGGCTGGCTTTGTCTTGAAAGCTGAGTGGTCTGAATTTATTCCTAGGGGAAAAGTCCAGAGAACCCCTCCCACCTCTGGCCTAGGAGTCCTGGAGAAGGTGGGTGGGTTGGGGGAACTCTGGCACTCCAGCAGGCCCTGGATCTGAGCCTCTGGGCCTGCTCCTCCCTCCCTCTACCTCCCACCCCTCCCTGGCCCAGAAGCAAATGGTGGTTCTGGCACTGGGACTGCCCATGACCCACTTAAAACAGAGCCAGGGCTGCTGCCCCTCCCCTAGGGGGCCTAGTGGGGCAGGGGAGGGAAGGCAGGGCAGGCAAAGTTGGCAGTGGGAAGCCCCCAGATGCCCAGGCTTCTTTTGTTAGGACCTCTCCTTGCAGCCCCCCCCCCCCCCCATGAAGACTCTAGGCCAGGAGAGAGGATGCCTCCTCCTGCTGGCCCAGCTCAGGTTTAGACCAAGGGGAGATTTGCACTCTCCCTGGTCACCCCCACTCCTAGGGCCACACTTTTCTTTTTAGCCTCAGATCCCCTTCGGGACAGAGAGAGTGTGTTCTTTCTGGAGATGTTTCCTCCGGGGGTGGGTTCCCGGCCAGGACCAAGAGGGAGGAAGCCAAGTCCAGATCCCTTCCCCCTTCTGGGGCCCTTCCCGGCCCCTCCTGACCGCACCCAGGCCCTGCCGGGCTGAGTGGGTTGGGATGGCCCAAAATAAGAAGCTGATCAAATTCGTCTCCCACCTTCACCCCAAAATAAGAGAGAGAGAGAGAGAAAGAGAGGAAAGACGTCCCCAGACAACTCCCACGCGTCTTCCTCCCGGGCCGGTGGGCCAGCGTCGGGGAATGGGGAGAGGGGCGCCCGAGGCAGTCCGAGACCTGTGTGGTGCCCGGGCCGCGCCCTCTCCCCCATCCCCGGTGCGAGGCCCTCAGTCTCCCCGCAATTAACACAGAAAAGCAATTAACAAAAGCAACAAAAAGAGCCTAAAGGCGCCGCTGGGGGGATAGCGAGGGCGAGGGGGGCAGAGGGAGGAGGCGGCGGCCCGGCGAGCCCGCTCACAAGGGGACCTTTGTGTGTACTGAAAGGCTGCCAGGGCGCCAGCCCCGCGACCCTCGACGCCGCCGGGGCTCCGGGCGGGCGGGTCACAGGGGGTCCAAGGGCGGGCGCGCGGGCGGGCGGGGCGGGGTGGGGGCTGGTACCGGTGCCGCCGGCGGCCCAGCGCCCACCCCACCTGGCTGCGGCTGCACCCTGGGGGCCGGGCCGCCTGGAGGCGCGTCCTGCTGAGCCTCCCCGGCGCCGGGCCGGGCGGGAGAGCGAGCGCCGCGGAGCTGGAAGGTGGAAGCAACAACGGGCTCGCGCACACGCACACGACGAGAAACCAGCGCAGCGCAGGGCTGAGCGGGGTCCAAGTATTTACCAGGCTCCCCCGGGTTCCGGAGCTGAGCTCAGAGCCCCGGGGACCCGGGGACCCGGGGAGGGTGGGGGTGGGCCCCTGCTATAAAGCTCTTCCTGGGAAAGGACGGAAAGAAAGTCGGCGGCGGGAGGAGGGGGTGGGGGGGCAGAAGTTGGATCGACTGGGAAGTTTGGAGATGAAGAGGGAAAGGAAAGGAAGCGGGTCCTTCGGCCGAGGACGCCCAGACCGCGAGCGCCCGCTCTCCGAAGGGGGGGCTGGACCCCTGGGGCCGCGGCCCGCCTCCCCGGCGGGGCGACTCCCGACTCCCGACTCCCGGAGGGCCGGAGGAGCTCACTTACTTCGGGGCTGAAGCTGCTTTGGGCCGAGCTGAGGGAGGCGAGCGCGGTGGCGAGCGTGAGCAGGGGCAGCAGCAGACCGCCGGCGGGCCGTGGGGCAGGAGACATGGTCCGTCCGCGACCGTCCCGGCAGCCGTGCGGGCTCCGCAGCGGGCCCAAGCCCTGGGGTCGCGCCGCCACTCCCTTGGGGGCGCCTTTGTCTTCGGTGGGCACTGAATTTGGATTCCTAGAGCGCTGTCCGCTTGGAGAAGGGGAGGATTGTTCTTGAAAGCGCCTGTTCGTCCCCTTTTCCGTTTTTTTGATCTTTCTTCTGCTTAGTCTGCGAACTGCATGACGAGCCCTCTCTCACTCTTCTGGTCCCTCCCTTCTCCCACAGCCTCTCCGCCCCCGCTCCAATGCCCTCCTTTCCCGGTGCGGACGTGGTTGTTTCAGCCTGAATCCAATTACAGCCAAGAGCGGGGTAAAACACACACACACACACACACACACACACACACACGCACAAAAACCCCTTAAGTTGCCTTTCTGTGGTGGAGGCTGCTATCTGCAAGGGTTGAGGCCACAGTTCAGGAGGGGGGGGGTCTGGGGAGGAGGGACCCAGGAGACGGGATGTGGGAGACTTTCTCCCCCTAAGCATATTTTAGGTGGCTTGATTCCTCTGGTATTCAACCTTTGTCTCCTCTCAGAGCAGGCAAGTGCCGGGAGGCTCAGTGGCTAGGGGCAGACGAGTTCAAAGTCTGGGATGCTGCTGGTGGGGGTCTTCCATATCCATCACGCCTGGGGTGCAGATTGTCTGCTGGGACCCGTGGCTCAATCGAATGGAAACTTTTGCCCCTTGTTCTTGACAACCATCTCCATCACTCTCCTGCTCAAAACATGCAACGGTAACGAAACCCTACTACCCGCTAACAAACTCCACAACCACACTGGCTGTCCTTGTGGAAAAGACAAATGCACTCCCTTAATTATCATCATTTGCAATCTGGCTGCTCCTTAAAGTAGAACTGGCCAAGGAGGAAAGAAGTGCAAGGCCATGGAATGTGGGGAAAGGCAAATCAAGTTTGGGGAAACTGTTAAGACCAGAGAGGTTGGGGAACACCTGGGTAGCTCAGCGGTTGAGTGTGATTCTGGGATACAGGATCCAGGATTGAGTCCTGCATCAGGCTCCCTGTGAGGAGTCTGCTTCTCCCTCTGCCTATGCCTCTGCCTCTCTCTCTGTGTCTCATGAATAAATAAAATCTAAAAAAAGTCAGGGTGGGAGGGGGAATCCCTGGGTAGCTCAATGGTTTAGTGCCTGCCTTTGGCCCAGGGCATGATCCTGGAGACCCGGGATCAGGTCCCACGTCCGGCTCCTTGCATGGAGCCTGCTTCTCCCTCTGCCTGTGTCTCTGCCTCTTTCTGGCTCTCTCTCTGGGTCTCTTGTTAATAAATCTTAAAAAAAACAAGAGAGATTGGGAGTTCAGACTTCGGGGTTGTTTCCCCTCTACAGTTGGAAAAAGGCAGTTCCTTGAGGAGTAAAATCTTCAGGGGCCGACTCAGCTGAGAACAAAAGGTGGAGGTACGCAGGGAAGAGGGAGGGCCAAGGAAGGGGGTGGGAGAACTGAAGCCATCCTGACCTGGGGAAGAGAAACAGGTAAGAGGTTGAGAGCTAGAGCTGGAAAAGCAGCACAACAGAAGCAGGAAAAGTGTGGGAGACAGAAAACTCGATCATCAGCGAAATCTAAGATCCCAGAATTGCACTGGTCAGCGAGAGAGGAAGGAGGTAGTGGGGAGAAGAGTGGGAAAGAAAGCAAGGCCAGGAATAAAGGAAGCTGGACAGAATGTAGGTCAGGTAGGAAGCTCCAGCAATACTAGAGATCCAGGAACTATTATAGGTTTGTGACAGGATAATGGAAGGAAAGCCCAGTGCTCTGTGTTGTAATGGGAGCAAAGGTCTTTTTCTCCCAGAATCTGTGTCAGTAATAGGAAGGGTTTCCCTGGGTCCTGGGCAACTAAGGGGTTTGTGGAGATATACGATAGATATTAGATACCTATGCCACAGTGACTGTTTGGGGGCTGAGTACCTCCAGGGCTCCCCTATACAAATTGGGGTCGGGAGGTCAAACCTCTCTCTGACCAGCCTGTGGTTCAGCCAGAACCATAGAAACCCCAGGGTTCAACTTGTTAAGCAGAACATGGCAACACCCAAGTCTGGCTCTTCCCATGTCAGCCTTCCCAGTGGGGGTAACCTCTTGGGCCATGTATCTGAAGTTTAGGAAAGCTGACACCAGATGCTTGGCAAGAAATAGACCTCAGCCGGAAAGCCTTTTTCAACAAAACATTTATTAAATGAGTAACTACATGCAGCCTGAGCTGTGTCTGGTCTGTTATAAGCTTGAGTGCCTAGCATAGCCAGGAGAGCTGCTGCTCCTTTTTCATGTTTGCAGAGCAGCTACTGTTCATAGTTGATTGGGCCAGTCCTATGGCCTGCAAAGGGGATAAAGTGTCCCAGAGCAATATTCTACTGAACTGGAGCAGAGCCAGGGAGGAGGGGACTAAGCCAACTCTTCTAGGCAGTTCTTCCTGGTGTCCAAGCTCTGTGCTCTGAAGACAGACGGGGACGTGAAGGTTCTCTCTTCTGGCTGGGATGAGGCATGTAGGTGATAGAGCAGAAAGCCAAAGAGAGGCTGGGAAAGGGAGACAGGAACTGCTTTTATTGACCTGGTTGTGGGTTCTGCAGTAGAGCCCCTTTGGGTTTAAGAGCATTTTTCTGCTTCCTTTCTTCTTCCTGCAACTTCTCTTGCTGTCTAAGCTGCCATGCCTGTAATCCAGCATCCATTTCCTGTGACAGCAGTACAACTCGTCTCTGAAAGAGACAGGAAAACAGGGTGGATAACATCTGGGGCTTGAGCTCTGCACCATACATCCTTTCACTCACAGATCAAAGCCAGAGGTTTCAGATGGAAAATGATACTGCTGACTGGGGAAGGGAACCAGGTCCTGGGATGCAGGAGGAGGCAAAATGTGTGGCAGAATGTCTACTACTGGTTCCCGCCCTAGGAGTGCCCACTCTCTTCCTCCCCTTCTCATAGTAAAAACCTTTAGCTGTTAAAATGGTATGCAAGGGGCACATGTGAGCTTAGGTGTCAGCACAGCTCCAGCCAAGGTAAAATTTAAATTTTTTCTTTCCCAGTACACACAGGTTGCCCTGGCTGGGGCTCTAGCCACTCACTGCAAACTTCTCCCTTTGGGCTTTTCTTCGAAGCTGGCCTTTCATTGGCGGTGCAGGGCGGCCATCTGTAAATAGAAGAGAAGACAAAGATAGGTATTAGGGATGGCTGGCAGCACCCTGTGAAGACATTGTGATAGGAACAAAGGAAGAACCAGTCTCTAGTTCCTTCTCCCATTTCATACCCATGGTGGCTTAATTCTCCAACAACTTATTCCTCAGTATCAAGGTAAGGTATGCCAAGAATAAGCGCTGAGGAATACTCCTACTCTACTTCACTTACCCCTCATTATCCTGGAATGGTTCTTTGCAGTGCTAAATCTTGTTTTATCTTTTTTTTTCCCCTAAAGTTTTTATTTATTTGAAAGAGAGAGAGAGAGCACGTGCAGGGGGAGGAGCAGAGAGAGGGAGAAAATCTCCTACAGGCTCCCCACTGAGTGCAGATCCTACTTAGGGCTCAGTCTCACTTGGGGCTCAGTCTTGAGATCTCGACCCTGAGATCATGACCTGAGCCAAAATCAAGAATCTGATGCTTGACCAACTGAGCCACCCAGGCGCCTGTCTCCTGTTTTATCTTTGGATCCACTCAGGCAATCTGATCACTGTTCTACTCATCAGGAGTCTTTGTAAAATTCTCATTCCTCAATGAAATGCTCTCTTTTCCTTTCCTTTCAGCCTTTCAGCCCAGTTCTTGTTCATAGCCCACCCCCTCCAAGTCCTAGATGCCCAGAAAGCCTCCAATGACCTCTTCAACTCTGTTAGCTATCTCTTCAGAAAGAAGTGCCTGATAGGTGCCTGGGCGGCTCAGTGGGTTAAGCATCTGCCTTTGGCTGGGGTCAAGATCCTGGAGTCCCTGGCTGGAGCCCAAGTCAGGCTTCCTGCTCAGCCTGACTTCCCTCTCCCTCTGTCCCTCCCTCCCCATCTCCTTGCTTGTGTTCTCTCTGGCTCGATCTCTCCCAAATAAATAAATAACATCTTTTAAAAAAGGTGCCTATCAATGATTTAATATTCACCTATTTGCCTTGGAGCATTTATTGTACTATTGCTTTTTTGCCTTATTTGGCCACCTCATTCTTTTGGAAAGTGGTAGAGCACTGTAATATTATTATTTAATCTTTTAAAAACTAAAAGGCAGGGATCCCTGGGTGGCTCAGCGGTTTGGCCCCTGCCCCCAGCCTAGGGCATGATCCTGGGGTCCCGGGATCGAGTCCCGCGTCAGGCTCCCTGCGTGGAGCCTGCTTCTCCCTCTGCCTGTGTCTCTGCCCCCGCCCTCTCTCTCCCCACCCCCGTGTCTCTCATGAATGAATAAATAAAATCTTTAAAAAAAAAAAGAACTTTCTAAAAAAAATAAAAAAATAAAAAATAAATAAAAAATAAACTAAAAGGCAGACACTCAACCATGGAGCTACCCAGGCATCTCTCCATTTTAATTTTTAAATGTCCATTTAAAAAGTCTAGCTGTTGGGACGCCTGGGTGGGTCCGCGGTTGAGCGTGTAGAGCGTCTGCCTTTGGCTCAGGGCATGATCCTGGGGTCCTGGGATTGAGTCCCACATCGGGGTCCCTGCATGGAACCTGCTTCTCCCTCTGCCTGTGTCTCTGCCTCTTTCTGTGTGTCTCTCATGAATAAATAAATAAATTTAAATAAAAAATAAAAAGTCTAGCCATTTTCCCAACTAGAGTTTCACAGACTCTGTCCCTAGGTTTCACTGTAGCACAGTGTAGGCACATAAGCATATATCATAAAAATTCTACAAATATCTACTGACTTGGGGGATCCCTGGGTGGCGCAGCGGTTTGGCGCCTGCCTTTGGCCCAGGGCGCGATCCTGGAGACCCGGGATCGAATCCCACATCGGGCTCCCGGTGCATGGAGCCTGCTCATGTCTCTGCCTCTCTCTCTCTCTCTCTCTCTCTCTCTCTCTCTGTGTGACTATCATAAATAAAAAAAAATTAAAAAAAAATATCTACTGACTTGGTGAAAAATGCAGTACTGACCTGAAGTAGTTTATACTGAAGGTGAAGAAAAAAGATGCTTACTTTCTACAGAGTAAGAAACAGTGAAAACTCTGCCCAAAAGTCTTGTGGAAATTGAGAGATCTAATTAGGTAGCATGTCCAAGACCACAAAATCTGCAAGTAGAGAAGCCTGAATTAAGTATCAAGTCTAGGGTCTTTCCAATATTCCATACTACTTTTAGGAGCCACTAGGCTTCCTATAGTAAGTAACAAGTGGAATAAATCTTTACCATCCCCCTCGGGATCATACTCCTCTAGAATCCAATCAGGGTATTAGTATTGAGGTCTCTGTGCTGTTGAAGGGGGCCTGGCCCCTACCCAGTTCTAGTCCTGGCTTTGCTATTACCTAACTGTGTGATCACAAGAACTCTGAGAGCTCAACTTTTCCAACCTGTAAACTGCAGTCCCATATTGGGAGTGGGGAGTCGCTTCAACTTTCCTAAGAACCCTCCCTTCTAGGGCTAATACCTATTTTCTTTTTCTTCTCTAAGTAAAGGGAATAAACTTTTCTGAAGGGCGCCCACCATCCTCAATCCTCACCCTTCCAACCCCTCTCTGAGATGTTCATTTAGGCAATCTTTCAGAGCGCTCTTCCTACATTTGGTACCAAGTTCCAACAATGTACTCACCACATAGAACAGTGGGTCTTTCTAATTTTTTAAAAACCGTCCCCCCATGAGAAATGTAAAAATCCTAGGGGCAACCCGGTGGCTCAGCGGTTTAGCGCCGCCCTCAGCCCAGGGCCTGATCTTGGACACCCAGGATCGAGTCCCGCGTCGGGCTCCCTGCATGGAGCCTGCTTCTCCCTCTGCCTGTGTCCCTGCCTCCCTCTCTCTGTCTCTCATGAATAAATAAAATAAAATCTTAAAAAAAAAAAAAAAAAAAGTAAAAATCCTGTCACTCCCTCCTCTGGGACGCTCCAGGTTAGAATTATCTTCTGCTTATCCCCACAAGATCCTGTCTAGCTTTACTTTCCATAGGCGCAATTTAATTCACAAAATAAACAACAGGGCTTCTTCCCCTCAACTCCAAATATAAAATTCAATACGTTGTGCATTCAGACACATCCCCACCTGGAGCCCCCTCTCCCCCCGCCCTCCGTCCAGGGGAATTTCCGTCCAGTCAGCGCTCACCAGCGTAAGACCAGTCTGGGAGCTCCGTAAGGGGCCCGTAGCCGGAGGGGCTGGCAGCCAAGCCCTGCCTATGTGGAGAAAAACAATCTGGTAAGGATTTGGCCCAGCTTCTGGCCTCCCAGGACCCCCCAGGACCCCCCAGACCGGCACTCACTGGAGTCGCCACTGGCTGCCCGCCCGAGCCGCCACGCTGCAGTGCAGCCTCCGGACACCTGCTGGGAAAACAGGGCAGAATTGGGACAGAGGCCGTGCAGTCAACTCAGGGGTGCTAGACTTGCCCGCGCGAGCTCCCGAGCCCACCGGCTCCACACCGACTTACTCAAGAGCAGAGAACCTAAAGCAGCCATGCTGAAGCCGCGGGACCGGAAGTGGGCGTGGCCTCGGTGGCCACGCGCGGCGCTGCAGGGAACTAGGAAGCCGCCATCTTGAATCTGGGATTAAATCACGGGCTCCGCCATCTTGGGGCATTGTACGGAAGAGAGGACAGAACTGCGGCGGGGAGGGCGGTTGGCGGCGTGTGCGTCGTCAGTAGTGGTTACATTCTCAGTGGGAGTCGTGTCCTAGACTGAGCCGTTTTGAACCACTCTAGCGATCTCTGCGCAGCGGAGGCTAGTCCTTTGGAATTTATGCCTTTATCTTAGAGGCCTTCGTCCGCATCACTGTAACGTTTTTCCCAGCCTAGGAGTCAAATCTACAATGAAGCAGAAAATTTGGGTTTCAATCCTGTTTATTCAACAAAATTGAAGAGCTTATGTGTGACAAGCATTGTTTTAGGTGCGAGGATCCTATGGAGAGCAAAACAGACATCATCACTAGTCTGATAAGAGCTCTGGGTCTAGAGAGGGAAAACGATAATAACCACACATAATGTAATGGTACCGCCGAGATTGTAGAGGGGACACCTGGCTCCAGGGATCCCAAACAGACGAGGTTCGGCCACTTGCCACTGACAAAATCCAAAGGCAGAGAAACAGTGGGGGTGAAACAAGAAAGGAATTTATTTCACGGAGGCCAACACTGGGAACAGTGGACTAGCATCCCAAAGACTGTCTCCAAAGTGCCAAAAATACTTCTGGGCTATATGAGGAAGATGCCAGGCAAAGGTGGGTGCATAGGTGCAGGTGGGCAGTGAAGGTCAAATCGTTGTCTTGGGAGTCAGTCCCAAGTGGTGTCTTCCTGGCTTAGGACAGTCTATTGCTCCCATCTGAGCCAAGAGCAGAGCTGGAAAGAAGAACCCAAGTAGGAGGCTTAAGGTCAAAATGGAGGCAGCAGAAGTCTTTCAAGGTGAATGTTGGGAAGGGAAGTATCCTTTTTTTTTTTTTTTTTTTAAGATTTTATTTATTCATTCATGAGAGACGCAGAGAGAGAGGCAAAGACACAGGCGGAGGGAGAAGCAGGCTCCCTGCGGGGACCTCAATGTGGGACTGATGTGGGACTCCATCAGGGACTCCAGAATCACGCCCTGAGCCGAAGGCAGACGCACAACCACTGAGCCACCCAGGCGTCCCAGGAAATATCCTTTGTGACTATAATGGGAACTTGATCTGGAGAAGGCGATCAAAGAAGCCATTCTTGAGGAAGAAGTCTTGGAGCTAAGATCTAATTTCATTTTTGTAAAGGCTAACACCACATATTGTCTAGTATAATCCTTGGAGCAACCTGAGGCAGGTACAGAAGTCCCCCCTTAAGTATGGTTTCACTTTCCACAGTTTCAGTTATGCACATTCAGTTGCTCTGTGGAAGCAGTTGATCCTTCTGACAAATTGTGAGGAGGCCAGTAGTAGCCTCACTAAACTACAGTGCCTATACCATTCTCTTATCATCTTATCACAAAAGAAAGATGAATACAGTACAGTAAGCTCTATTTTTGTCATTTATTTATTTGAGAGAGAGAGAAAGAGCACAAGCGTGAGGGCAGAGGGAGAAGAAGAGAGAATCCCAAGCGGACTCCAAGCTGAGCGTGGAGCCAGATGTGGGTCTCAGTCTCACAACCCTGAGATCAAGACCTGAGCTGAAACCAAGAGTAGGATGCTTAACAGACTGTACCATCCAGGCACCCCAGTACAATAAGATATTTTGAGGCCACATTCACATAACTTTTATTACAGTATATTGTTATAACTTTTTATTATTGTTATTAATCTCTTACTGTGCCTAACTTAGAAATTAAACTTTATCATAGGTATGTCCATGTAGGAAACACACACACACACACTATATATATATATATATATATATATATATATATATATATATTTACTATATATATTTATTTACTATATATATATATATACACACATATATTATATATGGTTTGGTATTATCCATGGTTTCAGACATCCACTGGGGTTCTTGGAAAATATCCAAGATAAAGTGGGATTACTGTCCTAGTAGGTAGTAAACCCAAATCTGTAACTCTTTCCTCTTTATTTAATTCTTTATTTATCTTGGAGAATTCACTTATCCTTTTTTTTTTTTAAGATTTATTTATTTATTCATTCAGAGAGAGCGAAGAGAGAGGCAGAGACACAGGCAGAGGGAGAAGCAGGCTCCATGCAGGAAGCCCAATGTGGGACTCGATCCTGGGTCTCCAGGATCACACCCCAGGCTGCAGGCGGTGCTAAACCGCTGCACCACCGGGGCTGCCCTATCCTTTTCTTTTTTTAAAGATTTTTATGTATGTATGTATGTATTTATTTATTCATGAGAGACAGAGAGAGGCAGAGACACAGGCAGAGGGAGAAGCAGGCTCCACGCAGGGAGCCCGATGTGGGACTCGATGCGGGTTTCTAGGATCATGCCCTGGGCTGAAGGCAGACGGTCAACCGCTGAGCCAGCCAGGCATCCTAAATTCATTAATCCTTAATTTCTTCATTTAAGAAAAAGACCCTTAATATATCACATTTCTGAAAACATTTGAAAAATGATAATGTAAGTCCAAATGCTTTATAAATGGTGAAGTGCCTACAAAAGTGCCCATTACTCTGTGTTAGGCTAGACAGTTAATGCATGCTGACTGGGGGAAACTGAGGGAGTGGTGCAGTGGCCTATCTGGAAGTTTATCATTTCCTTCTGCATGATTGGGAAGTTTTTCCACAGGAGGTGGCTCTGAGCTGTGCTTTGAAAGAGGGGAAGGGTGGATCCTGGTTTAAGAAGTTAAAGCAGCTGTTCCAATAACAATAAGAATAAGAATGGTATAGGCTAGGGCTGAACCAGAAGAAAGGATGGAAACAAAAGAAATTTGGCTATAAGCCAACAGAGGGATCCTCCAAGATTAAGCAAGGGCATTAAGACACTAAAGAATTATCACCATCTTACATTCATACACTTAGATTAATACACCATCTACATTCATTTTCACTTACTGAAACACTGCTATATAAATGATTTCACATGATTATTTTTAAGATTTTATTTATTCATGAGAGACAGAGAGAGACAGAGACGTAGGGAGAGGGAGAAGCAGGCTCCCTATAGGGAGCCTGATATGGGACTCAATCCCTGGACTCCAGACTCGACTCAAGGATCATGCCCTGAGCAGAAGGCAGACGCTCAACCACTGAGCCACCCAGGTGTCCCTGATTTCACATGATTTTCATAATAAACCTGTAAAGTAGATATGACAGTAAGGAAGCAATTCGTTAAACAGATTGCTCATAGTTTTCAGAGATCAGGAAATTGAATCAAAACGTGGTTGTGGATTTATTGTTTTACAGTTGTGATAATTCCTGAACGCCACTTTCCCAAACCTGGCTCCATAAATCTTTGGCTGGTTCTGAGATAGCACTTGGAAACCCATTATATAGTTTACAGTTGGCAAGTCAAATAGAAGCCAAGCGGCGGAAAAATAACCTTAGTGTCAACATTCAAGATTGACAGGAAAGATGACAAGCTAGCATTACCACCAACACGATATAAAGGAATTGAACCAGCAAGACTCCTATCTTCCAGTAGCTCACACGACTAAGGGGATGCCATCAGTTTGCAAAAATATGAGAAAGGGCACACACAATAAGGTGAACAAATAACATGAACAATAATTCCACAGGCAGAGATGAACACACGCAATACTTTAATTGCTGTGGGAGTCAAGGAGCCAGAGCTGGAGAACTCTGGGGGCAGGATGGGAAGTTTAATTGGGAAAACTGAGAAATCTGAGAGGGGAAAGGTCTTTGGAAAGAAGACAAGTTCAGCCTTTGACGTGGTTGGTGTGATGTGGACAATCCATGGGTTGTAAATAGCAGGAAATATGGGTTAGGATTCTGAGAGTGAGAGAGAACATTAGTGCTGACAGCTAACATCAGCAGTATTCTCAGTGCCCTCATGGAACACTGTGGCAGGGGAAGGCGTCTGGCAAGTGGACAGCATCTTTAGTGACCTCACTAGACTCAAGTCACAGGAAAGCAGCTTCCTCATCCACAACGAGGTGTCTTCGAGACTCTTGATGTCATCTGGCAAAGGCTGGAGTTGAGTAATGTGGAGTGTCAGGAATCTGAGCTTCATGTCTTTCCTTTCTTAAGCTCCTTTACCTCTCAAGGAGAGGTCCAATAGGGTCATTCAAATATCCTTCTGTATGGTCTGTACACAGTGACTTTTGTACAAGTGCACTGCTCTGAGAAATTAGGTACTTTTAATTTTTATTTAAAAATTAAGTTTTTAAAATTAAGTAATCTCTATGTTCAACATGGCACTCAAAGTCAGGACCCTGAGATCAATAGTAACTAAACCAGCCAGGTGCCCATGGGGAAATTAGGTGCTTTAAAAACTGTTGAGATGAATAATAACGACACTTGAGAAAATGTAAGTGAAGCCGACTCAGGGTGACCAATTCTACCAAAATTTTGTTAACTTGTTCTGCTTTTTGCAAGCTTATGAGCAAACTGAAAGTGGAAGAGGAACAAACTATTTGGGAAGTGTCTTATTTTACATTCCTTCATTATCTTCCTCCTTAGGTCAGCTCAACAATGAAATCACTGTCACCCCATGCAAGAAGTGTGGAAGCTAAAGGCTACCCTTCGCACAATATGTTGCTTTGTATATCATTTCCTTATTACATAATTTATTGTAACATTCCTTTTCTTTTGGTAAATTATGACCTCGGGCTACACTCTTTTTTCTTGCTTGGCAGCTGGGAAGTCTCTCAGCTGTGTCTTGGTCATGAAGGGGGTTGGCTCTTTGTGTATCTCTGCAGAGGGGCAATGCTGGCTTTAAAAAATGATAAAGTTGGACTGTCCAAAAGGTGTACAAAAAAAAATCGAATTATTTACAAGTCATCTTTTAGCCTTAAAGCAGGGTGAAAAAAGCGTTTCCAGATCCCTTTCCTTGAATTAGGCTGGCAATTCCCTCTTTTGTTGAGTCTACGCTGTCAC